GGATTCCAATGAAGAAACCATGGACCGTGAAGACCAACATGCATTGCCTCCACAATTACCTTGATGGAAGAGTATGTTCTTGCGCTGTCCAACATGCTGAAGGTAGGGGACGGAATCTCAAAAATACTGAATCCTACACTTACGTCATGACTGACTTGATCCACAAGGCTTTTGCTTATGCAGTGTCGGTTCAAGAAAAGGTTGTCCAAACACGGATACTAGTTGCGATCATGGCTGAAGCACTGCCTGTGGAGAAGGCGTTGAAGACGGTACGCTCTGCATTCTCTGAGAGGAACTACAAAGATGTGCCGCTCGCTCGAGTTGACTACGGCTCGGACTACATCCTGCACGATGGGAAGGTGAAGGCCGAGGTCATCCCCGACGAGCTGCGCGTCGCCAACCGAGAGGCTTGGTCAGACATGTTCCGTGATGCGGCAACTCAATCATTCATCGTCAAGGACGTGAACTCCGGTGTCGACCTTGCCAAGATGAGTGAACGTACCGATGCGCTGGCTCTCGCCAAGAATGCCATGTCATCGTTGACAGGTACTGCGGGAATTCTCAAAGAGGCTCCGGCTGAGGCTTTCGACATCCTCTTCTGCCCGGGGAAACCTGCGGTCAACTATCTGTTTTTCGGCGACTCCTTCAATGCGTTGGTCAAAGATGGAGCAAAGACAGACGTTGGCACCATCATCAAGGAGAATAAGCGGACGCTATTTGGGCACAAGCACGAGGTCTGGTCCGAAATGACATGGGGCAAAGGACTGGCGGAATCTCTTGATGCCGCTGAGCGGGCAATGCTAAAGCTCGCCGAAAGGCCTGAGCCCCGGCCGTACGTCATCGTGATCTCCTGGTCTGGAAATGATGTTGTCGGTCGTAACGGTTACATCGACAACCCCGCCGCCCTAGCGGGCTGGGCCACTGACTCCGAGGCAAAGCGGAAGGCTGCGATGGACATCATCGAAAGGAACGCCCGAGCGGTGATGACTGTCCGTGACCGGCTACGCCATATTGCTTTTCGGGAAGACGTGGTCCAGGTCGTGCTCATCGTACCTCGGGACTTTGAGACGTATGGATTGAGTGAATCTTATAAGACTCAAATGCCACCAGCCTGGAGCATTACTTTAGCTAGTCAAGCGTTTCTCGCTTTCAGGGTTTGCTGAGAAAATGTACACTTTGCCAAGGCCACTGGTCAGAAAGCGTCGGCTGTCAGCAATGTCTCGCAGAAAGAGCGCAACAGCTTCCTTGCATGTCTTCAAACGATGTTGTTCCTTTGGGTCTGGAAATAATTTTGCACGGAGCGTCCGAGGACCACCACTGCCAATCATGGACGGTCATGCACGTTTGTTCCGCGGGGATCACCGTCCTCGACCCCCAGACTCTCATATCCAACACGTCCCGGGCAGACCGCATCCACACCGATGACACCGAGCGCAACAGGAAACACTACATCAATTACTATGTGGCCGCCGCGAAGCTCGGGTACTGCATTGGCCAAATCAACCGCTTCGAAATGGCGATGAATTGGTACCGCCTCGAAAGGGAATACATGAACATTGACACATCTATCCCGATCGTTGGCGCTACACCCCAGGAAACTGGCGGTCCGGCAATTGCAAAGAACCCTGAGGACCCTTTCGACAATGAGGTCCGTGAGAGGGAGTTGGAGGCGATCAACGAAATCGCCGCGCAAGAGCCGAAGCGCGAGGTTTTCCTGGAGACTGAAAAGGAGGCGAACCCCCTCTATCCCCATGACACCGTCAAGGAGGAAGCAAAGATCTTGCAGATGATGCAACCCGACATTCACGCGGCGACCGTCAGCGGCCTCAACGATGTGATTGATTGGTCTTCTTCTTCGGATGAGGAGGACCTGATCAGCTTCGACCTGCCCCCTGGCTCTCAGCCTAAGGTCAGCCGGCCGAAAGGCCAGGCCGTTGAGGTTGCCGCAGTGGATCCGAACGATATCGGTGAGGACGGCCAAATCAAGCTTATCCTCACTTCCAAGCGGAAAAGTCATAACAAAATGACTGCAGCTCTCAGTGCTGCGACACCAAAGGTGAAATCAAAGGCAATGCCAATGCCTGCCTGAGATCAATCTCAAGGACAACTCCTTCCACTACGCAGCCGTCGCCAAATGGATCCAACGTCGATATGACTGGAACTGCTCCCAATACACTCTTCTTCAGGCCACGTCCACATCGAATCGGTTCGAGGTCTATGTCGAGTACGCGCCGGCCGGGCAGCAATGGAACGGGCTCAGTTTCATGCCACTACGCATTCGCGCGTTCACCGGCCACAACGATTGGGTAACCGAGGCCAGCGGCTTTGACAACATTCCTGGAGATCCCATTGCAATGGATGTCAATTACACCATCGAGCACGCAAAGAAGGGTGTGCGACCGGGCTTCTGCAAAGATTTCTCGGACGCACGCCGAAAGGCGCTGCCCAAAATCGCCTACCACACGTGCAACATGCAGAATTTCTTTGACATCATCTACATGGGCATCTTTCCGGGCGGAATGGGAGACCGGCAAACCTCGCGTGGTCACGCCTACCTAACGGTGGTGCCTCCTTGGGACAGGCATGGCCGGAAGGCGGGGGGTGCGCGTGCTGACCGACCCATCAACATCGCCGTCGATGTGGAGATGTTGATCCAATTGGGATGTCGGCTGTACGCACCCGGAGACGGGGAAGCCCTGGTGACGGAGGATTGGATCACGAACAAGGTCCTCATTTACGCCTATGACGCTGAATGTGCAAAGTTTATCTGGTCCAACCGGATGTACGTCAGCGTCAGACGGAATTACCAGGACAGCATCAAGAAGTATCGGGAAGAGACCCAGAAGGGCGTTGTCGGGACCCCAGTGCTGGAATCGTTCATGGCGAACGCCGAGAAGGAATGCAAGCTCTATTACAAACAGTGGGCTCCGACAGCGTGCCGCGACCTGACGCGGCCCCACCGCATTGGCAATGTGACGAAGGTCAAGGACGTCTACGACGAGAACCTCCCGAAAGAAGAGCAGGTCGCGCTTGAATTCGAGACCGCCCGCTATGGCCTCTACAGGAACTGGGCCCGAGCTGTGACGCAGCAGCCCGGGGAAACCCGAGGCCGGAGTGGTTTGTGGCAGGACTTGGATCCCAACAAGAAGAAGTCGACAAACTGGCGCTTCGCGGAGGTCATGCACATCCCCGACGTTGAGTGCCCTCGCTGCAAAATCCTCATCCCGGTCGGCACCATCAACTGTTTCCAGTGTGACCAGCTGATGGAACGCATGCCCGATATCAAGAAGATAGCCAGGGTCGTCCGTTTGCAGGAGATGGCCAACACCTTGGGCGTGCCGCTTTCCATGGACCAGGTTGAGACTCAGATATTGACGCAGCGGAAGGATGCGCGGGGGGATCGAAGCGCAAGAGGGGGCCTCGGCATCATGAAGGACATCGCCAAGAAAGCAGTTCTTCGCAACAAGGAGTACACCACGCTGTACGAGAGGCTGATCAATGACCCCTTCTACGCCTACACTGCCGCGCGGGGAGACCTGACGCCGTCCGCCCTCGAGTTTATCGAGAAGGTGGCACGATGCATCATTCCGAGTTTCGTGAGAACCAAGGAAATGATCCAAGGAAGCGTTGCTGTGCCGAAATATCACGCACGGCTAACGCTGGTGCCGCCAACGGAGGACGTGCAGGAGGTCGATCCGAAGGACGTCTATGTTGTGCATGGTGGCAGATTTCTGGAACCAGAACAATTTGCTGCACTGTATGGAAGCCTTGACAAGAGCAACCGCTACCCCGTGATGGGCTGGACCCGGGATTTCTCGTCTGTGGGAGACCCCGAAATGGTATTGGTTGAGTTGCTCTGCTTCGTCGAAGAGGAGATCCCCAACATCGAGATCCCTGGACGAGCCACCCCGCTCCCTGCAGTTGTCGGTGTGACGCGCAAGCCCATTCCGCAGCTCCGGGAGACCGGTGGCCAATGGCAGGATCGTCAATGGAGCCAGTCGTACTGGGGAAGCTGGGGCCAATCCTGGGACTCGTGGTGGTCTGATGATCAGCGCCCGTGGAAGAGCTCCCGCAATTGGGATTGGCGATGAATGAGCGATCTCTTCGACAATCTTTTCAATCTTCGGCTGACATCCATTTACATTTCAAATTCAATATTCATTATACTTCTCAATCATGTTGGCCGAGGATCAATGTACAGTGCATGAGCACGCCTCGCGAGAGCGACGGTCAGTGGAGGCGGAAGACCTTAATTGCCGATTGCTCGCATCCAAGTGCTCGTGTGCTGCAAAAGGACTTCATGCCTATCGGGTTTCTTTGGTTGTTTCATCCCTTTCATTTGTCCTCCTGTTTCACATTCGGGCACGGGGGGTGTAGTTTGCAACGTGATGTATTTATCAACCATGTAAAACCCCAATGCATGAATGTCTCACTTGTGCAGTCTCATCATTACGACTGCATATGGCTCAAGGAAAAAGCGCGCTGTGTACAGGGTTCATTTGTGACCCTTCCCGGTTGTTTAACCTGTTCTATACGAATCAAAATGCACACCCGTTGCGACGGGAGGCTCACTTGCCATGAATTGCCGCATATGTGTCAAGATCATCCAACCGCAGTTTCTTAGGATTGACAAGGCCGGCATCTGCACAACCCATATCATGGCAACTGAAAGCCCTTTTTGCCTTTCGGAGGCTTTAAGTCCGATGCCTTGGAATGCAAAGTCGTGAGAAATGCATGGTACAAAAACAACAGCAACGTGTTCAAGAATGCACGCAGGCTGTGACCTTGTGCCATCTTGTGCCATCTTGTGCCATCAATGCATTCAGGCTTGCCAGCCCAATCAGGGAAGACTCCCCATCTTCACTCAGAAAACGGCAATGCTCAAAGCAAACCCTACTCTTGTGCACCGGTTGTTTTTGTTGAGCTTTCACCCGGCTGATCCCTCAAGAGGCCATTTCTTGTTTGCCACGGGCGCATCAGGCGCGCGCAAAGCGCCTGAGGCTGGAGGTGGAGGAGGCTCGGAATCGCCAGAAGGAGCTGCAGGAGATCATTGTGGCGGCAGAGAATGCCCCTGGGGCGTGGAAGCAAGGGCCCTCCACTTAAAGTTGACTCACCTCCTTGGTTTCATGGGTTTTATTAGTTTTATTGTTTCTAGTGTCTAGAACCGAGAGGCTGGCGTCATATGGTTTCAGTGTTTCATGCCAGTTTCTTCGGAAAGTCATCTCCAAAAGGATGTCGGGTGGGTAGTTGGCAGCTAGTTTGACACACAGGCCCTCTTGGGTTCGTGTTTGGTAGGGGTGGTCATCCGATTCAACGAGGATCTCCTTTGGCAACGGGGACTCAAGGGATCCACTCACTGCCTTCTTGATTTCGGGGAACGGACAAGCAAGGGGCCATCACGGCTGGAGCAACCCCGCAGCATGTTTCAGCATCGGCGCTGGCCATCCCCCCAAGGACCTAGTAGAAGCTTTCATTTGAAGAAGTGTAAGGCAGGTTCAGGTTAGCCAAATACGGACCATGAACCACGTTTGGTTGGGCCCTCGCTGCGTGAGGTTGAGACCATCCTCGCCACCGTGCGTGAGCTCGAGGGGGCCATTGTAATCTCCACCGCTCTGCACCGCCTGGGCAAGGTGCCTGTGTCGCCCCAGGCCTGGACATATCTGGACATCAGGCTTTCCATTCTCGACTGGCTTACTTACTCATGGAGTTGGCAACTAAGCTTGTTGTCGGCTAAGCTTACTCTGGCCCAAGAAGTTATGGTCCTTGTTAATCCTTGGGACAGGTCATTTTCACTCGAAGCACCCCCCTCTCGTTCTGCAGCCTCTAGCTAGCACTTGCAGGCCCGGCACTAGCGAGCCTCCAACAATGTCACCTGCCTCCATGAATCAAACAACTCAAGTAAGACACTGCCTGCGGCATTGTTGACTTATCCGCCTTTTCCGTTGATTACACAACACTTAGTATCATCTCAAGAGCTACTTTGACAAGGGGCAATTTTGTTGGAAGCTTGAAACAGTGGCTAGTGGTGGGGGCTCACTTGTTTTGCTCCTATAAATCCATCCATGCTGGTCCAAGCAATTTCTCAGGCCTTCAAGGATCCCCGGTTTCAGCTGCTGCTGGACCGCTTCAAGAGCCGGATGCCCTTCTTCGGCAGCCGGCAGATCGCCAACTCCCTGCATGGCCTTGGGGCGGTGAACTACCGGGGTCCTGGGCCGTGGATGGAGGTGTCCGTTCAGACACAGCGCCGGATCCATGAGCCGCTTGGACTGGAAATTCAGGCGCACGTTCCCAGGCCTTGTTGCGAAAACCAGTTGCGTGAAGTATGGATTTTTTCATCAAGAATATCAAGCGACAAGCTATGCAAGAAACTAGAATCAAGATGAAGCAACAAGCTCGCTTCAGGAGTTTGTGCCGGTTGGACATGTGCAGGGGCTGTTGGCTAAGCAGGCGGACATGTGGCCCTCATCGGACACAGGTCATATTACAAGCGGGGACTTGGTGCTGTTCGTTGAGCACCTCGCGCGCACTGTGCAACAAACGCAACGTGCGGCTGTGCCATTTGAACCAAGGTTCGAGCCCCAGCATGTGTCCAACACGCTGTGGGCCTGTGCAAGGATGCAGCTGCAGGAGCCGCTGATGATAAGAGCGCTTACGGCCAGAGCCATCGAGGATATCCAACGCTTTTGTCCCTTAGACATCTCCATTTGCCGCTAGGCTGACGTACGCGCTGCGTCCGGGAATTGAAATCCAGCATAGCGCATGTTCACAACGAGCACCATACTGTCCTTCATGCATGGGTTGGCTTCTTTGTGACATAGCCGCCACAAAGATGCAGTGCTCCTGGAACTATCCCCGCTGTTTGTTCAGTGTTTGTCTCCAACTTTTGAAATTACTGTGTTCGTGATGGATTTTAGCCTTCTATTCTTTACATGTCCTTGAGAAACATTTTGTTTCGGGGCAGCTACAAGATGCTTAAACCAAGGCTGCAACCGGACACAACACCATGCTTGGATTCATGCAACAGATCAGAGGAATGCCGATCCGGGCCTTTGGGTAACGGGGGCAGATCAATTCTTTGCATTTGTTGCCTTTTGAAAGTCAGCCGAAGGGATGTCACCCACATTCAAAGTTGGAACGCATTTTTTTGTGTGTTGTGTGCCCCGTCTTTGTCTTTGTCTCTGTCCATCGGTGTGTTTTCAGAGGGGAGATCCAGTGTGTTCGAGGCACCTGGGCCTTCGCTACCCTGAAGCACCGGGAGCCCGAGTGGCTGCGGGCGGTGGTGCGTGCCCGCTGCGAGTTCGCGGACTTCTCCCCGCAAAATATGTCCAACTTCGTGGCTCAGCGTGTGAGCGCGGTGGGCAGGTGGATGTTTGTTTGGTGGATGTTTGACCAGCGATTTGTTGGGAATCCAGGAAGCAATGGGAAGCCGGCATTGAAGTGCTGCCCTGGACTCACTAAGCGAGTCCCAGAAGATCCTGCTGCTTCCATAGCGGCACGTCCCCCGAAGTGGCCATGCCCTTTTCCCCAACATGGGTTTGACTGTTGGTGTTCTGCTTGATGTTCTGCTGCCAGAAATTGCGAACTCGAATGCGGGACAGGCAGGGACGGAGGGGGAGGGAGGGGGAGGGACGGGAGGTTTGCCTACTATAGTTGCCAGCCCAAATCTGATATGCTTTTCCATGGCCCATTTTGCCATCATTTCAACCTTATTATATTGGTAGCAGGGGCTGAGGTCTGGGGCTTGAGCACTTTGGGCTTCCGCCACGACAACATGGTGCTGGCGGTGGGCCGGGAGGCCTCCAGAAAGATCCAGGACTTCATCCCTCAGGAGGGGATCGGCTCGGCCAAACCCAGACCGAAGCAGTTTCATGCAGAAAACGGCGTTTCATGAAGGAAACACGGATTCGGGGGTTCTTCTTTGAGGAAAGTACATCTTGAAACAACATGTGGTTGCTTTTTTTGGTTCATGGAGGAGCTGTGGTTCAATGCTTGGATGCCTGTGCTTGCCAGCAGCACCTGTGAAAGTTTGGTTGCGTCTGGGCAAAGCTGACACCTCCACTCTTGGAGAAGCCTTTTATATAATCCCTTTCCGCCAATACTGAAGACGGCCCCCAATAGATAAACGCTCTTCTGGCAAGTAATATGCTGTCAAAAAGCGGCCCTCTTCTGGTACAGAAGGCATCGCAATTCTGACATCAGGAGCGCAGCAGGGCTCTGTTGTGAGCCACCGCCCTCCGAGAGCGGCTGTCGTTAGAGAAGTGTTGTTTTGGTGTTGGTTTAGTATCGGTTAGCTTTATTCCAGTATTCGGAAGTTTGGGGGTTTGGAGATGCATGTTGTGGGAAGTGATTTATTGCATGCCGGGACCCAGCGGCAGGAGCTTTCCAATTTCTCCTGGGCTCTTGCCACCATGGACCTTTGCGACAACTTGATGTTGCGGGCCATTGCGGAAGAGGCAGACCGCCGAGGGGAGGAGGTGAACAGTTGGGACCCCCAGAGCTTGTCCAACATGATGTGGGCCTACGCCACCTTGGCGGTGAAGGATGCACCTTGGCGGCTCTTTCTTTGATTTCCCCTTTAAAACATAGGGCAAGCGTCTGAGTGTTGATGATGATGATGATGACGATGACGATGACGATGACGATGATGATGAAGAGGAGCATACGCGTTCCCCTCTTGCTTTCGAAACGGGCCCAATTTTCTGTCGCAGAGGACCCTTTGTTCCGGCGGCTCCTGGACGCCTCCATCTGCCGCATCCTGGACCACGACACCCAGAATTTGGCCAACAGTTCCTGGGCCACTGCCATGGTGGGCTTCCGCTGCTCCCGGTGGCTCAACGCTGCAGCAGAGGCAGCGGTGCGGAAGATCCGGGAATGCCGCTGGAGTTCGGATGTATGGCTTTGGACGTGTTCAATCAGAGCAATGCGCATGTTGTTTTTTGTTGGCTTTCTTGTGCGGAAAACATGTCAAGTTGACCCAAGCGACATGCTCACCTGCCAGAAGTCAGGTCAGACGCTGCACCTGGCGCAGCTTGCCTTCGCGTTCGCCAGGTTTTGCACCACCGGGGAGCGGTTCGGCTTTCTGCCGACTCTGCTGGAGGAGACCTTGCGACGGGTGGAGGAGTTCCCGCCCCAGTCGCTCTTCGACGTCCACGACGCCCTGGTCTTCTTTAAGCTCATGCCGCCCAACACGAGCATCGAGCGCCGCCTGTCCTGCTGCTTTGAGGAGACCCTCAAGAAGCTGGAGGACTTCGCTCGGCTCGGCGCCCAAGGCCGCCCCAGCGGTGCGGAAGTGGCTGCCTATCAGCGCAGTGTGGAGCAGAGTGACATTGTGACGCTCGGGGAGCACTGGACGCTGGCCTTCCTGAAGCATTTCGGCATGCTTTGCCCCGCAGATGACGGCTTTATCCCTAGCGCGCGCAGGAGAATTCTCGACTTCCGGGCTGAGGAGGCAGCAAAAGACCCGGTGAGCCGATCCATTTTCCACCGTGCCCAGTGTGCATGGCAGCTGGGCATTCAAGGGGATGCTGATGGAGCGCTTGCAGATGGCCTTTTTGAGAGCGGCGAGCCAATTGCTGGCGCCCCAGCCGGCCATGGCCTCTACGTGTGCCGGCTTCGGCACACCCGTGAAGGCGATGCGGAGATCCAAGCGCTTTGTGCAGCCTTAGGCACCAGTGCCTTGCGCAGCGGGCGTGGACAGGGCTTGAAGCTGAACCTGCACCTGTCGGACGTGCCCTGCGTGTCCTGTTTGGGCTGCACCCTGCAGTTCCAGTTCCGCTATCCTGGAGTGCTGAAGGTCTCCTTCGACCGGGGCCGCGTGCTGCAACAGGACTCGGTGCCCATCCCGCGCCCCCCGCCGCCGCCTTCCAAGCGAGGGAACGCGGTGCCCTATGCGCCATTGGCAAGCACGACGCCCCACGATGGGGTGGATCGCTCCATGCTGCGAAAAGACGTGCCGCAACGGGATGTCACTACCTTCTACATGAACTCAGTGGCACCTCGTCGCTCCGACGGAGCCAGCAAGGGCGGGGAGGAAGCAGTGCCCCATAAGGTGCTGAACGGCCAAAATGGGAGCCAGCAGACCTACTACTTCTCTGCCACACCTACCTTCTATGGCTCAGGTGATTATGACGATCATTGACATATAAAAAGCCTCGCTGGGTCGTGCGATGTGCTGCCAAGCCTGCTGTGTTGCAAACAACTAGCTTTGAAGGATGCATGCATGCGCGCGCGCACATCAAGTACAATAACCTGTTCTCGAGGTCAATGTGTCGCATGGACACTCGTGAGAAGATTATAGCTTGACCCGAGAAGCGCAAATCACATAAGGCATGCCCAAAGCGCACTCCCACAAATGGATGGGCCTCTTTGTTTAATTCAACCTGCATTCCTCTTGCGTCCAAACGGGTGCATGGTTGGAGAACGAGGTGGGGGCACCCAACATTAAAGCAATGAGCAAATAACTGCCACAAATCGTCGCACCGCCTTCGAACTGACAGAAAAAAACACGAATAGCACGAATTGTGGATTGCTAACGCACCTTCAAAGCACATAAGCATGGCGAACTTGGGAACACATGCCGAATGCAAAAAAACTGTTGCTAACGCGCAGTGAGCACCAATGAGGCATCGTCGACGCGCCCTTGCCTAGGCAAACATTGGCGGCTTTGCTCTGCCCTTGTCGCGGCACGTAGGGCCCAATGGGCAGGCGTGGAGTTTTTTTCATGGTGCATCAAGCTGACAGCCCGTTGGATGTCTTGCGGCCGCTTTTTCTGGACCAGAGTGTGCTGGGCATTTGCCGGTGTCCATGCAAGCTCCAGTGTGCAGGGCTGACTGAGTTGCCTGATGCAGGTGCACGCCTTTGAACCTTTTCGGGTGCTTCATCAGCTGCTGACTGCCAATTGTTGCTTGGCTGAAGATAGGCCAGTAACGGTGAGCCATCCACGGAATCCGCCACCGAGTGTTCGCATGGCAGCTTTCTCCAAAATCAGTGCCCCTGTACAACGAGTTGCCACGTTCAACAGGCCTATATGGGCTTGAATGGCTTTAGGGCTGGATCAAAAGCTTTCCGTGCTGAATCCGCTCGTTATGCAGTTTCTCTGGCAACAACAGTTGGGAAGTCGCAGAGCGCTGCGCAGGCCGCTCAAACACCGGCCGAATGCTATGTGAAAAACAGAAGCTGCAAGTGAGCCCTTCCCTGAAAGGCAAGTGCAGCAGCTTTTGCAAAGTATGTCGGCAGGGCTTTTCCATGCCCTAATTTCAGACAGACGAGTAACTAATGTGAAGCATGCAACGTTGGAGCGAGCATCAGAAGCCTTGCCTCCATTTGCTTAAGTTGTTTTTTTGTTCCCCTGTTAGTTTCAAAGGGCATTTATCACTACTGGACATACTGTGGATGGACGAAATCCTGCACCACCTAAGAAACAAACCCTGGAAAGATGATTCCGCTGTAAATATCAACAAACAATGGATTCCCATGGTTGCAAAGTGGTGCGACATGGATTTTGTCCATCCACAGTGTTTCATTTGTTCCCGGCGGGCGTATTCGCAGAGAAGGTGCCATCAATGGCCTGCTGAGCTGCTTCACCTACCACGCTGCTTTAGGTGCGAGGGGCCCGGGGCGTGCGAGGGGCCCGGGGCGAGGGGAATGGGCGTCTTCTAGGTCCCCCAGTGCCCTTTGTTCCCTTTGTTGGGGGAGGGTTCCGCTACTAAAATAGACAGACAAAAGTTGGTACCCTTATAGCCCCCTCCACTACTGGAGGACCTAGTCCAACCTTCGAAGGGGAAGCTGACGCCTGAGGGCAAGGCAGCGTCCCCGCGACCCCTGATCAAAAGTAAGAATTCGTAGTCGTTTGTGTCTTGAAAAGGCTTTTAACAGCGGATGGGATTGACCATTTCAAGAGCTCTTGCGGGGTTTGAGAGCTTATCTGAGTTTTCAGTTGTCGACCCCCGTCAACCAGCTTTCAAAGGCCATGCCACCCACTGGGAATTCTTTCCCCATTCAACATCAAGCGGTCGCAATGCAGCGACTTACCTTTGAGTTTACCGGATTCTACTGTTGAGGCGGTCTTGCCTGCTTGATGTTCGTTTTTGGGATGCCCTGTTACTTCCACTTGCTTATTATGTATATCCTGCTTGTTTGAAAAGGAATCGATTCACTACTGGACATATTATTATTTTATTTTTGTTCTGGGGGACTTAAGCAAAAGGACGGGGTCTGCGAACATGTTCGGGGTTCCACTGTTCGCCAGTTTGCACGTGCCGCATGCCATGAGAGCCAGGCAGCAAGGCGGAGAAGCGCCGGCGGCGCATGAAACTTGGCCTGAAGGGAAGGGGCTCAAAGGGTTGGATTTGGCCATGGGTCAACGGGATCCCATTTTGGGGTAGGCGCACCACCCATTTTAGAACCTTGGGATGTTCACTGGGGGGGTAAATCTAATGTTAACCCTGGATTAGTAAACACCTGGTTGATTTATAGGGGGGTGTCCCTGTTAGTGGGGATTCAGCACCCCCCTGATAATGGGACGGGTTTATTAATCATGGGTCAACATTAAGTACAAGCTGTTTCCCCATAGAATTTCCTGTAACCCAACCCTTTGAAAATCGCACCAGCTTGGTTCACTGGGGAGTTGCAACCCCCTGTCTTGTGTCAGGTGCGTCCTGATGAGTTTATTGCTTGCCGCGCATCTATCCTCAGGTTAGGATCAAAAGCAAGGCGCAAACCCGATGCTGGCAACACCTGCATGTGCCTGCATGGAGTTGTTGCCCTGCGCAAAGCACTGTGAAGAAAAGAACGAGCCTTCGTGACTCGTCGCGTTTGTGGCGTTCGTGTCAGGCCCGGCCTTGCAGCTGTGGGCAATCCGTGGCTTGGCTCGGGGTGGGCTTTCCGCCCAGATCCAAGACATGAGTCAGTTTGCCATGAGGTGTGTACATATGTATATATACATATTCTGTATAAAGGGGACACTGCATCGGACTTGGGTGGGCCCCTATGGATTTTACAGGTTCATTTGTGTCAGTTTTGGGCGTAAGTCTGATTCGCTGCAGGTGCCAAGGCAAGGTATGTTGTTCTGCTTTCGGCAGCTACAGAAAGCAGCACACACACACACACACCCACACACCCACACACACACACACACACCCCACACACACACACACACCCCACACGCACACGCACACGCACACGCACACGCACACGCGCACGCGCACGCGCACGCGCACGCACACGCACACGCACGCACACGCACACGCACATCCACAACCCCACCCACCCACCCACCCACCCACCCACCCACCCACCCACCCACCCACCCACCCACCCACCCACCCACCCACCCACCCACCCACCCACCCACCCACCCACCCACGCACGCACGCACGCACGCACACACACACACACACACACCACACACACACACACACACACGCGCGCGCGCACGCGCTGCAAAGACCCGCCGGACAATTGTGCAACCTCAATGTTCTTTACCCTTCCACCACTTGACATGTAACCTGACAGGTTGTCCTCTTAAAAGGAAAATCAAGGGTATTCGAGGACCCCCCTGTCAGGTTCGATGTTAGAATTGTGCCATGCATTAGTTTTCCAGTTTTGGCCATGGAAAAAAGAGTTGCCAGTTGGGGGGTGGCAATTTGTCCTGGAAACAAAAACAGCAATGTTGGGTGGATCATTTTTCCTGGGATGATCGACATTTGTTTTGCATGGTTGAACAAACACAGTTGCAAGGTTGGATGGGTATATTTTTCCCTGCTGGTTTCTTAGAAATGTGGGCATGAATGAAGAAGAACCCGTTGCAAGTTGGGTGTGGGTCATTTCTTCCTGGTTTCTTACGACTATTGTTCGCAGCTGTTTTAGCTCCTTGTCCGGGAAAATGTATGTTAGGCTCCTTCCCGGATATGGTTTGGTTTTCCCCCAAACCTCCTCCCCCCCCAAAAAAAAACAAAAAAACAATCTTAGATCCAAATTAGCTCAATCGGGTCCAGCCCCAAAACAGCAGTCAGAAGACAGAAGCCCCGGTTTCTTAGAGTAGGTTTTGTGCATGAATGACCAAACACCGTTGCAAGTTGGGGGGTGGCTCATTTCTTCCTGGTCTCTTCGAGGTCCGTTTTGTGCTTTTCCCAAGCTGCCAGAGGTCCAAGAGCTTCGTGGTGGACTCGGTGGCCTCGGAGCTGCTGATACACCACGACTCCGGGGGCCGGATGGAGACCGCGCCTTCGCTGGAGGACATGAAAAATGGCACCTCACAGGGGCGTCTGAAAGGACACCTTTATGTTAGACAGGCGGATATTTGTGGGTGGTTTCGTGTTTTTCTTCGTTTTTTATCATTATTTTTAGTTAGATGCTTTTAGGCAAGCCCAAAAGAGCACCGATTTATGGGGTGATAGCACGCTCACTTATGACTAGAACGCCCATGCAGGTCCAATAAAAATCTACAGTTGATAGCACAGTCACTCCTTACTTCCACGGAGCCCCACTTTGCGGGAAGCAGACTAATTGAGGAAGTGAACCTCTGGTAAACGTTCTTTGCAGCGAGCTGCTGCACAGCACAGGGAGAAGCCACATCCTAACCAGCCTCCAGTTCAGTCGAATGTGTTTGGCACTTGCAAGCATGAGCTTTAGCCTATCGTTTCCATGCTGACGTCCAGGTCACTTTGCATGGGCCCAGGTAGAAGTTGTTCGCCTCGACGAGAAGCTGGACTTGGAGCGGCTAGACGCCGCGGGCCCAGACGAATGCCACAGACGCGCAACGGGTAAGTTCAGGGACAGCACTGGTTGCTGTTGTGGACAAGCGCTTTCCTCAAACATGCCCTGGCAAAGCCAACCTGTTCCTCATGGTGGCAAGAACCCCATTGTCACTCACTGCCTTTGCATCACAAACACCAGGGTGGTTCAGAGAGCTTCGGTGCAGTCTTTGCGATTGAACCCGGCCACGCTTGTCACATTTTGGCACACCGCTTGCTTTGCCAGCAGTCATAGCCTCCCCGGCTGGGACGCTTCAGCCCAACGTTCGCTCCGGGCCTAGGTCATGAAGATTGACGTGGAAAGCGGGGAGTATGACACTGGGCAGAGTTTGGCGAGCTCTTTCAGTTTGGTTGGTTGGTTGGTTGGTTGCTTGCTTGCTTGCTTGCTTGCTTGGTTGGTTGGTTGGTTGGTTGGTTGGTTTGTTGGTCAATTCTCTGGCATCTTCTGAATCCTTCCGGCCTACAAGTGTGTTTGCCAGCTTGTGGCTGGTTTAGAAGAGAATCCCCTCAATGCACGCTGGACCAGTCATGACCGCCCAGGGCAAAAAAGCTGAGGACATGCTTCTGGGTGCCGAGCAGACCATTCGCAGGCACCAGCCACTCATCTATGTTGAGGCGGGCGCCCAGTGGAAATTGGCCGCAGCCTTTGCTTGTCTTGTAAATTCATGCCGTGCAAAATTGTGCAATATGTCGCGGCGAGGCGGATTCTCGCTTCTAAATCCTTCTGGCGCCCACGCCATCCGTCTAATGTGTTGCTTTGTTGGTCCTCTCGCAAGTTTTTTCCATAGACTATCCAAGAATGTTACCCCATTTCATGATCATGGAAGTGGGAGGGCGCTGGACAAATGTTTTTCGCCCCACACAGGATCATTGCCGTGTAATACATGCGTGAGCATTGCATCTTTGAGACGGTGTGCTTTTGCCGTCTTACTTACATGCGGGCGTGCAATACATGAGAGGGGAGAGATACGCAGATCACCCCAGGCCGCCCTTTAGCAGAATGCAACCCCCAGGCCGCTGCGTTTTCTTCTAAACACCCTGCGTGCGTGCCATGCCAAAGTTTCGCCAGGACTCCGAGGCAGAGGGCAGCCAGGGCTCACCAACAAGGGTGGTCGAGCTGTTAGGCCAGCACTCCTACACCTGCGGCTTGGTATCAGAGAAGCTTTCACTAGGCTTTTATGGCTGGGCGCCAGGTCCACGCTGCTCCCTGGTCCATGTTGGGTGCCAAAGTTGTGGTCACTTGCAAGGTGTTTTTGGGGCCCTGGTCAGACGTCACCAGATTCGAAAAAGGGCGCATTGTGCAAAGGGGGCCTGGCCAACAGTAGCAGTTCTGCGCAGCCATGCGCCACGCGCGCACCTTGATTGACCAATTTGAGATTCTGCCCAAAGCAAGGAACAACAGAGCGATTCAGCCGGGAGGCAGCTTAGACCCAAAACCACTGAAGGCAACCAGCCAGTTCAGGCTACGACCCGCGGGAGTTCGGCCTGGCTTTAATGACCTCAACCCTTTGCGTGCCTCCGCGTCTCAACGAAGAGGCGCGGTTGCGTTTGAAAGACCTGCAAGCCAAGTGTTTTTTTTGCACATGCGGCCTTTCCACAGAATTTCCGTCGAGAAGCACCAGATCATTTGCCGATCGACCGCATTGGCTAAAAGTTTGTGCGGGTTTCTGGCCAGCCCACGGGCCAGGTGAGAGCACGCATCCGCAATATCCGCTGGAGTGGGCCTCCGAGATGAGCGCTTGGCAGACGGGCGGAGAGCCAAGAGGCGACACGCATGCTCGGGGATCATGTATTGAGGGGTGCGGTGAGGGTCGGTGGAGGTAGCTCGTTCATGGCTGCATGTGCCGTTTCGTTGCAGTCTTGAAATCCATGGGCTTTAGCGAATGTTCCTGTATCAATGTATCCCCATGGGTGAATTTATGGTATGGACACGGTTCCCATTTGAACATGGATGAGTCGAGTAATGTCGAGTACCACCTGCAAAACGCGAAAGGGATCGTCTTGCAGGACGCCTAGCTCGCTTCAGCTGCCCAGCCCTCAATGCTCTGGCTCGCCGTGCAACAAATGGGTACATTCATCAGGTGGCTGGGCTGGGCGCGAACGCCTTTCTGTGAACCCAAAGGCGGTTAATGCTGTCCGCATGCACGACAACAATAATTCCACGGCCTACAGCTGGTGGAGATTGGAGGCAAACTTGGTCCAGGAGCAACTGAGGGTGCTACCAAATGGCATGTTATTGATGCATTGCTTCGCCATTTTCCCACACCCCAGGGGTGCCGCCCAATTTGCCGTGCCAGTGTCTCACCGCGCTTTCCCCGCAGCCAAAGGGCTCCATCTTGCCTTCGCCCTGCCGCATTGGGCAGCGATGGGGGAAGAGTTGCAGGCGGGGGGGGGGGGGGCAAGGTTGGGAAGCTTGGCCCATGTCTTTACAGAATTCCGTTTTTTTGGACTACCCCAAGCTAGACTTAAACCCAGTATTTTGCTTGTGGGGCAATCAACCACCCCTGGGTTTGAGTCTACTTTGCGGGTTGTCACAAAATGGAGCCCGAGTTGTGCTTGGTTTGTGGCATGTTGCACCCTTTCTCGGGGTGAAAGCAGGTGCAAGCTCCTGAGCTTTGCGCATGAATATCCGGTTCGCATGTTGCTTGTCGAAAATTGGTTGAACCTCCAGAGATGTCTCAGCTTGTGTCCCACGGGGAACGCCGAGACACTTTTGAATGTGTTTGTGTTCCTTTCGTCCAATCCGACCTGAATGGATCCACGGATGGTATCTGCAAATTGTGGTGTGAGGAAAGGTTCCGTGCTGTGCCCAGCACCCTGCAACAGCATGTTTTTCCCATGTCCAAATTCCCAATCCAAAAGCAGTGGTTGGCAAGTTGAGTGTTCCAGGGGTTTCCCTTTTGGGGAAATCCACCGCACCTGCGTTTAAGTCTACTTCAAGGTTGCCAAAGAACCAAAATACACCCAGGTCCCCCAGTAGTGCCCTTTTACTTTTACTTTTTTTTTGGGAGGGTTCCCTGTACTAAAATAGGCTACAGCCTTATTCCAACGAGTCTCTGGAGGACTTAGACACGGCTCCTTCGGTTTGCCAGCCAGGAACTTCAGGCGCAGGTCGCTTCGCTGAAGGCGCGCATGGACCATATGGCCTCGATCCGTGGCCTCAAGGGGAGGCGCTTTGCGCCCCGAAGCCTCAGGTGGCCAACGGTCAAAATCCAAATTTTGTAGCCCCAGTGAACATCCGATTCAATCCACCCACTAAAATAGGAAGCCTAGAATGGGTGGTGAATTCACCTACCCCAAAATGGGATACCATTGGTTTTGACAGCCAGGTCTTCTTTAAATGGGGACCCTTCCTCTCAGGGTTCCGTTTTTGAAAACCTGAAAGTGGACTTCAACCCAGGGGTGGTGGATTTCCCGAAAAAAGAGGGTTTACGTCTACCTTGGGGTAAGAACCCTGCAAGCTGCCTCCCAGGTTGCCATAACACAGGTGAAGAAATACTTGGATCAATTTCCTGAAGGGTCTGTGTCCCTGTCAGGTGCCATGTTAGTGGGAGCGAGGTGATTGACCTTTTGGACTTTAACTTTACGGTTGAAACAAGACCCACACAATTTGCACAGGGGTCAACAGGAATCATGACAAAATGGGTTTTGTTATGTTTTGTTTTTGTTGAGCCTCGCACAACTTTGTGGGTTTCGGTGGATGGGGGGCATTCCCCGTGACCTTATTTTCAATTGGGTCGGTGTTCTTCTTATTTTGATCCCCTAAAATTGTCCCTTCAAAACCACCAAAAAGGAGTCCCCCCCACCAAAAAGAAAGGAGATAAACAATAGACTAAAAATCAATTAAGCGACCCATTTGAAGTTGTCAAAATCGGCCTCACGTGGCCAAGGAAGCTGTCCTTGCTGCACTTCACCTCTGACTTCTGTGATAAGTTGGCAGCCTGTCTCAAAACTGGGCGCTTAGCTGCTTAATCCCTGCCACACATCTTGGGTATGCCAAGTAGGTGTTTTTTTGGCGTTGCCAGACAAATCGCAGTTGAAACAAGGTGGTTTGGTTTGCGGTTTTCGGCATCAACGCTTTGGCTATTCATTTGGTACCTAGCAGGCCCTTACCAGTTCCAGAGGTGTATGCAACCTTCGTGCAATTTCATTTGCATTGTCTTCACCAAGCATGTTGGCATGACATGTTTGGCTTGTAGCATGCAAGTGCACTTCGGAGGTTGGGGCACAGCCTGTGGAGCAGTGCTCGGCAACCCTCTTGGTCCGAACATTGAACAACACAGTTTTATGTGCAACACGGCGAATATTCCAACTCCTTGCAAGACCTTGCAAGCAGGCAAGCGACAGGACAAGGGAATAATCGGACCTAGTTGTCTCGGGGCAACGGGGAGGCCTCCTAGGTGAACCCCCCCAATACACCGCGCTGATCATCCGATTCTGGGTCAAAAATCGCCAGCGTTGCATCCGTTCGCCGTCATGTTTTTTTTGCAGTGCGAGTTGTGCGTTTGGCGGCCATTCTCAATTCTCCTGTGATGAGCTGCTTGTCAAGCCTGGCTGTTCGTGATTTGAAGCTTCATGGTTTGGCATGCTTCGCCGTGGGCATTCAGATCCATGCGTTTGTACAGTTCGTCTCCCCTCCAGCCCAAGTAAGCTTCGCTGAGGAGAGTGAGTCTCAGCTTCAGCTGATGCGGCTGAAGCTGAGCAGCCTGGCGGAAAGATGGGTCTCGAGATCATTAGACAACTTGCGCTGGGCCATGCTTCTAGCGGTTGCGAACTACTTCCTTTTGCTTCAGACGATATTTTTTCCCCTTGTTGGTTGTAAAAGGAATCTATCACAACTGGACATATTTTGTGCAGTGGGCTTAAGCACATGGAAGACCTAATGAGGGGTGGAGTTTATTTGAGGTTGTAGGGTCCAAAGGGATTCATCCGAAGTCTACATGGCTTTGCAGTGCGTTTTCTTCACTTCCGACGAAATTGGGTACCGTGCAACGGGGATCGATAGGGGAAACCTTGCATCACCCGGCCCTGGCATCTCCTGTCTTGGGAAGTCGTTTGTGGATCAGCTGGCCATTGGGTTTCTGGTTGCGTTTCCCCCTGGTGGTTTGGATTTGTCGACCCTCAACCAAAAAGCAAGTACTTACCCTGACAAACCAGGTTTTCCAACAAGCTCTACTAAAAGAGCAAGTATTTACCCTGGAAAACCAGGCTTTCCAACAAATACCCTGAAAACGGCGGGTGGCTTGGAGCGGGGGGTATGTTGGTGGGCTTGTTCCGAGCTGAGGCACCAGCAGCGCAGAGCCCACGCTGGCCACGGCGCAAGTGCTGAACGGCCTGGCAGAGAAACTCGGTGGTTTTGAGGGAGCCCCCCTCACCCTTGAGGTAGGTGGACCTCTTTGGGGCGCCGGGTGTGTGGCCAGGGTCGCTCAAGACTCATGGCATTGAGCTCGAAAGAGGGTGCTTCAAAAATAGCAATTCTCCATGGGGTCATGTCCCGTGCAGCATCATCTCAAGAGGGGCAGCGAAGGGGCCACAGCCAAAAAGCTGCCTACTTTTGATCCTTTTGGAGGGTGTTTCATTTTGCGCTGTTGTTTCATTTGGTTGAGTTCCACCTTTTGTGTGTTGAGAGCCTTTGATGTCCAAGTGAAATGAACCCTGAATTTCTGCGCCTGGCTCATTTTCCGGGGGCGCGGGCAAGGAACGGGGACTCTTTTTGGTTTATCCCAAACCGGTGGTTGACAAAGGTGTCCCTATGGTGTTCCTATTCCTTGATTTGGATGCGTTCGAAGTCCGTTCGGCTTCGCAATGAGAAGGGTTGCGCCACTGGGGAGTGTGGGCTTCAGAAAGGTTCTGATCGGAATACGTTTCTTGGGCATCGTTGGATGGCGCGTTTGGGTGCGGAACTGCAAGGGCACAGCCCGTTGGTCACTCCGAAACTGTGGGAGTCCGACATGCTAAGGATGGTGATGCGACTGCAGAACGAGTTCCGACCTAGAGAGGACAGACCAAACAGCTCTGCAAGGACAGGATTGGGCAGTGACAGCGGAACATGCAAGCGAGGCAGCAAGCCAACTATTCAATTTGCACGCAATGATTTGTAGCTTCGCTTGTTCGACGGTGGGCAAATTCAAGCTGTAACTGGGTGCTTTGCAAAAAGCCCCAAGCTGATGGTCCTTTCAGCTTGTCATTCAGTAAATGTCCAGCAGCTGGAGTCAGTTTGCTTGCTGGTTCGGTAGGCAGGGAATGAGTTGGAATGACCCCTGCAAAAAGTCTCATATGATTCCTTATCAGGAAATCCCAAGGTTCATTCCCAAACCCAACAGGTCATTCCCTACCTCTCGCACCAGCAAGTTTGGTTTCGCACTTCACCTAGCATGCATTGGCCCTTTGGACTTGTTGCTTTCAATTGCATCCACCTCCAGATGAGTCGCCAGGACCTATGATAGGTCCCACTGGCCTCCCAGCCCCGATTCGCCGAGCGAGTACGTGCCTAATCAGGAGACAATGGTCGTGTCAGGGCGGCCTTGGTTGAGGATTCCTTGGCAACCCTTTGCTCCGAAGTCATTTTGTGGTTGTTGCCTCTATTCATACAGAACCCTTTGTACAACCTTTGACTTAGTCTGTATATATATATACATATGGACACGTTACATACGTGTATATTTGCTGCTGCTGTTTGCCTTTTGGGCTTGACCGATGAATATTGGGTTGATCGGGGGTGATGTGGCTTCAATGGCAGTAATCATGACTTCGAAGCACCAATCCAAGCCACTCTTGCTGTTTTGACTGCCTTTTGCGCAGACATATGGCATGTTCTCCCGAGTCTTTGGTCCTAAGGGTGTGTTTTTTGTTGTTTGTTTTTGTTTTTGGTTGGCCGGGAGAGGATAGAGTGGGGCAGTTGAAATCATTTGAAAGGAATGAATATCAAAGCTGACGCTTTGAAGTGGCCGTAACCTCAGATGTTTGAACCCATCCCAGTTGCAATTATCCTATTCAAGCATTTGAGATGGCCCGTTCAAAAGTTGGCCAAACTACAGTGCCTCCGACTCCACTTGCCGTCTCTATGTGTCGTTGCGTGCTCCCATCTGAGCCATTTGCAACTGGCGCATGTCAGATGTGTTTCGCTTTGCCACGATGGAATTGATTTGGTTTTGGGCCCCTCCCATCTGAGCCATTTGCACGGAGCCGTCCGTGTTCGGCAGAGGACCACCTGCAGAGCACCTTGGAGTTCGGGGGTATGGCTTTGGGCGCTGGCACCTGGGCCAACGCCTACCGCCGCTCCACAGGGCAAAGGAGAGAGGCCTTGCGCCTCTTGTGCACCCTGGGCATCATCACGGAGAAGGACACACGGAAACAACATCCAGAACTAGCTGGGCTGTTCAAAGGCAATCCTTAATCCTTCTTTTCGGTTACGCAAGGAGTTTTTTATGTAGTGGTTTCCAGCCCCGGCTAGAAGCAAACATCCGCCAAGTAGCCAGAAGCGGTTCAATTTCGGGGATCGTACAGACCCACGTCTTTCTGATTGACCTGGGGTCGGAGAACCACCATCCCCCACTTTCTGGTCCCCGGAAAAGTTCAGAGGGCTTGGGATCTCGCAGTTAGGATCCTTCCACTCCATCTCACTGACTTCTTCATGCCTCATTCATGCTCTTTCTCCGGCCAAGAGTAACAGATAGGAAACAACGGAGGGAGAATAGAGGCATGACGTCTCTTTCACCCTTCTCCGCGCTCACTCCTCGCTCCGGAAGGTCTCAGAGATAGAGGCAAAGATTATGTCATCTCTGCTGCCCGGATTTTAGGGGTTACGCACTTCAACAAATCCGCGTTGGGGCCACCCTTGTTAACGGCAATAACCCGGGATGTTTAAAACCAATCTGAGTTGTGCGTTGCAGCTTTGGCCAGCTACTTCCATGATTGGCTTGCGGTTTGTTTGGAGGAGGCTGAAAAGTGCCTTCTCTCCAATGCTGTTGGGTAAGAGCAGGGTTTGAGCACTGCCTTGACCTTGCCACGCTTAAGTTGGTCGCAGGAGCTGTCTGATGATCTGACCGTCATCAGCTCCGATCATGTCGAGGAGCACCTCGGTGAGCACCCTCAGGTTGTGCACAAGAACGACCCAGCAACATTTGCAATAGGCACCCATATTGCAACTGACTGCAATTTCATCATGCTTTCGCTCAAGCATGAGCTGCACAAGGGGCCAGGAAGGGACAAAGAGCCTCCCCCGTAATAAAGGCGTCGGGCTTGATAAGACCAACAACATCTATGCAGCGTCGCCTCCTTGAATTGAGCTGACATCCGATACGGAGTTGCATGGTCAGCACCGTTTTTGGAAGAAACCCACCAGTAAGAACTTAAGAACTAGGCCAAGGACGTCAGCGATGTGTTGGAGACATACTCAACTTACCCCCGTGCAAATTCAAGCGCGACCCCTCCAAAAGAAGCGCATCGTTTCTGGAGGAGTCTCCTTTTGTAGGACCCCCTTTTGGGGTTTTGTGGTTCATTTGCGGGGTGGAGTGGAGGGGTGATTGGCATTTGTTCTGCAGGTTTTTACGCCTGCTTTTTGGACACTATGGCAATTTGCCGTATGAGAATGTACAATTTTCAAGATCAATCACCCCAGCAGGAGTAGTTTCACCGGAACCGGCGCCCATTACTGGAAGGTGCGTGGAGATCGCCTTGGAGATGTTGCAGCGCTGGCCTGCCAGGGATGGGCTCCCTCCGGTCTTCGAGGCCAAGGCACGGGCAAGCGCCGCAAATTGATCCACCCCCCTGTTTCAGGTTGGGTTGTCAAGGGGGTACCGTGGCCTTTTTTTTCCATTTTTTGGGGGAAGGGTTCCCCGTCAACCAACCCCAACAAAAAGATGTCCTTTTTTTTCCATGGCCACTGGGCATCTGAGGTACCTTCCCACCCTTCTTGCATGGAACACGACGTTCCGGGCCGGGACCCGGTCACTTTACAAGGAACATACGGTCCAAACCGGGCCCCTGTTATGTCAGGTTCCGGCTGTTGATTGGGAAGGTGAATGGGGGCAATGCTTGAGGAGTTCTTCAAGTCGCGCCTGGAAGCGATGTTCAATGAGAAAGCGCTGTCGCCTATGTGACCCGGGCCTTTCGGGTTCGCTTTGCAGCTTAGCAGCTTTTTTCTGGCTGCTGCGACTCCGTGGCGACTGCAATCTGTCGAATCTGTTGGAGTGATGGGCCCTTTGTGTTGACCCCTTGACAGGTTTGTGAATGTTCATCCAGTGCCCACCGGCTCGAATCAGCCAGAGACGAAGCCAGTTTTGGCTGACCGTTTATGCATTGCTTGAGCTTTGTGGAAAGATGGGGTCTCCAAACGTAGGGGAGCAACCCCACTGAGCACTTGAAGAAGCTATGGGCTAGAGGTGCAGGCAGATGCAAAAATGCATCAAGCTTCTTGGGCATGGGGCATGCGGAGAGCTAGCAGGGGACGTTGTTTCAGGGATCCTGTCACACGCTGTCACACGTTGTGGGGATATGACACATCTCTTTGCGCCGCCCCCTCCACGTCTCAAGTTCGGCGCCGTCAGCCCGGAAGCGGATCGGCTGATCCAGTCCTCAGCTCCAAGCGGGAGCGAAGCTGCGCGCGCGCAGACGGGCCCTGCTCGCGAGAAGTCAAAACGAGACACGAGCATGACGAGAGGGCGGAGTTTCCCCCGGGAGAACCTCACGAGTTTTGGGGCCCGAACAAAACACAGACCCACAGGCTGGCGAAAGAATCGCATTGTACACTCTTCAGTTTGGAGCCGCGGCAGTCGGTGGAATGCCCAAGCCTTTTTGTAGGACGAATATTGCCGTATTCGCTGTCATTGCCCTGTGTTCCCTCAGATGATGTTGTTGGCTTTCGGCATAATGCATTGCTGGGGCGGCAGGTGTCAGACTATCATTCTCCAGAAGCAAGTGATAATTAACATGCTTGCTTTCCTTTGCAGGTTGTGCACCCGCAGCATGTCAAAAAGCTTGTTTGAATATGCCATTGCCTCGCGTCCTTTACTCCCATTGAAGCTGTCCAGCCTTCCCCAGATTTTGGCTCAATGAACAATGTCGTGGCCTTCCTTGACGGTGCCCATAAGACCTCAGCAATCAAAGGGACCCTATAGGCAACATCTAGCAACTTGTCAAAGCCCGATTTGCAGCACATGAGCCGCACATGTGTCGTAATCCGGCCGGCGAAACAGACACTCCATCGCGAACAGGGGCCTCAGCTTGGGGTCCGGACGAGGAACAGCTTGCAACATTTTGCCCTAGCTCCGGCCATGGCGCTTCGAAAGCAGCTCCTGTCTCTGGATGAGGACGAGGATGAAGCGCCTGTCTTCCAGGTGCTGCTTGGCGAATAGTCCCAAGCTGGCCCCGCCCTTTGCTTGCCATGGGACAACCAAATAGCTTGCACTTCCCAAACTGTTGAGGTAGGCCTCATGACATGAGTTTTTGTTTTTACAGTTTCACATGTGAGGACATGTGTTTATTTGTTACGGGTTGTGCCGTGCAGTAACTCGTCCTGGCATCAACTCTTCGTGTTGCGGAGGGGCTTCCAAGGAAGAAGAGCCGCCTGAGCCGGCAGATGGCTGCCACCAAGGCAGGGGCCAGGGGTCAAACCACAGTTGGCCTTTGCTGAAAGCAGTTGATTCCATTTGGATTGACCTTGCTGCACACCGACATCAAGGGAGTTGTAAAAATCGGCCTTTGAAAGGGAACTGCGCATGGGGGGGCATCCAATCAACGAGAAACGAGCGCTGCAAGCAGGCGTGAAGCTCTTGCTTGATGCTGTTGAACTTACTTCCTGAGTTCCTGGTTAGTTCCTGGACTTTAAACTGTTTGGGAAGACCATTTTAGTGGTAGACAAACAGTTTGGAGGTTTTTTGGTCAATCCACTCAGGAAGTGAGTTAAGAACAGGCAGCGTTTTCTTCAGCCAGGCACCTGCAGACCTCGCCTTCCGAAAGCGGAAGTCGCGGGAAGAGGAGCCAGCGCCGAAGGCGGCAGCACCAGCGCCGAAGGCAGAGGAGCGAGCTGAAGGGTATTGGCGTTTCTTGGGCCAACGCGACAGAAACAGAATGATACTGTGGATGGGCGAAATCCTGCACCACTTTGAAAGTATTGGAAACCATGGTTCGTTGGTATTTACAGGGGAATCATCATTCCAGTGTTTCTCAGGTGGTGCAGGATTTTGTCCATCCACAGTAGGATTGCACAAGACCCCCAACAGGTAGCATCAGGTAGCTGTACCAGGCCATTTGTCGTTGTTTTGTCCGGTGGGGATTGAAAGATGAGACCCCTGCGGGCGAAAAAGCCTCTTCTGTCAAGGAGCCTGAGCTGATCGTCTCTGAGCCCTGCCCTGGCTTCGAGGATGATGTCGAGCCCCTTGGCAAAACTGAAGTTGTCAAATGAACTTGGTGGCGGAGGCGATCCAATATTTTGATAAACTCATTACCCAACGCATGGCTCTAAGGATGTTCCTTCACCGTGGGTTGAACCCTGGGCAAATTGCCTACGGCGATACCGTAGAGGGCGTTTTCTGAAGGTGCAATGGGACAAGGCGGGTTAGATGATGCTGAAGGCAAGTAGTTCATTTCTGACCGAGGCCTGGGCGCCATGTGCATCAAAAGAACCCAGCATGAACTATCCACAAATTAGTCATTCTGCCTGCCCCCGTGGGTCAAGATGATAGTGGAATGCGCGATGTTTCCTTGCACCATTTTCTGTGACTTGCTTACCAAGCATGTTATCAGGCATTTACATGGCATGTGATTGAAGCCGCTTGGAAAGCCGTTTTCTTGAAAAGGATCAGACACCAATCCGGTTCCGTGTGGCCGTGGTTAGGAGGTTGCGTTTCCAAAGCCTGTGTGCGAACACGGAAGCCAAAGCATGCTTAGCCAAAACTCACCCTCCCTGAATCAAATTCCCCGCATCAACCATGCTTCAACGACTCTGCTGGCCGCAGCCAGCATACTCCTGCCTTTCTAAACCCATTCACCCAATCTCGTTTTCCCACATGCCCCAGTTAGCCAGCCTCCCTTGGCGCCCAATACGGTAATATATATATATATTAATATATATATACACACATGCATATATTTATACATATATGTGTATCTATATATATATATAATGTACTTTTGCGGAGGGTGTCTTTGGGTTGGACCCCGGGAGCTGGGGGGGGTAATTGGTCCGAGGCCGGCGGAGGTGGGCGCCCTAGAGGCGGTCCGTCTGGCCCGCGCCCAGCGCGCCGCAGCGCGGGGGGTGCCGGTGAAGCAAGGCGGTCGGGCTGGGACCCGGGTGAAATCCCCAGTCGGGGGTTGATTCATATTCCTTTAAAGGCCCCCAAAGAACCATGGGTAACTCTTTTTTATGTGGGATTTAAGTTTCTTTTTTTTTAAAGAAATAAATGTCCCTTGGATCCTCCCGCGCCCATAGTTTGGGGCGCAGGTCAGAGGCACATCATTTGGTTGATTTTCAGGGATTCATCCGGTGGCTTTTGCACTCTCAACAACGTGTGGAATCAGCTGTGTGTGTGTGTGTGTGTGGGTGCGTGCGTGCGTGCGTGCGTGCGTGCGTGCGTGCGTGCGTGCGTGCCTGTCTGTCTGTCTGTCTGTCTGTCTGTCTGTTTGTCTGTCTGTCTGTCTGTCTGTCTGTCTTGTCTGTCTGTCTGTCTGTCTGTCTGTCTGTCTGTCTGTCTGTCCGTCCGTCTGTCTGTCTGTCTGTCGGTCGGTCGGTCGGTCGGTCGGTCGGTCGGTCGGTCGGTCGGTCGGTCGGTCGGTCGGTCGGTCGGTCGGTCGGTCGGTCGGTCGGTCGGTCGGTCGGTCGGTCGGTCTCGTCTCGTCTGTCTGTCTGTCTGTCTGTCTGTCTGTCTGTCTGTCTGTCTGTCTGTCTGTCTGTCTGTCTGTCTGTCTGTCTGTCTGTCTGTCTGTCTGTCTGTCTGTCTGTCTGTCTGTCTGTCTGTCTGTCTGTCTGTCTGTCTGTCTGTCTGTCTGTCTGTCTGTCTGTCTGTCTGTCTGTCTGTCTGTCTGTCTGTCTGTCTGTCTGTCTGTCTGTCTGTCTGTCTGTCTGTCTGTCTGTCTGTCTGTCTGTCTGTCTGGTCTGGTCGGTCGGTCGGTCGTCGTGTCGGTCGTCGGTCGGTTCGGTCGTCGGTCGGTCGCTCGGTCTGCCGGCCGGCCGGCCGTCTGGTCGTCGGTCTGTCTGTCTGTCTGTCTGTCTGTCTGTCTGTCTGTCTGTCTGTCTGTCTGTCTGTCTCTGTGTCTGTGTGTGTCTGTGTGTCTGTGTCTGTGTGTGTGTTCTGTGTGTGTGTCTGTGTGTCTGTCTGTGTGTCTGTCTGTGTGTCTGTCTGTGTGTCTGTGTGTCTGTCTGTGTGTCTGTCTGTGTGTCTGTCTGTGTGTCTGTGTCTGTGTGTGTGTGTCTGTGTGTGTGTGTCTGTGTGTGTGTCTGTGTGTGTGTCTGTGTGTGTGTGTGTGTGTGTGTGCTGTGTGTGTGTGTGTCTGTGTGTGTGTGTCTGTGTGTGTGTGTGTGTGTGTCTGTGTGTGTGTGTGTCTGTGTGTGTGTGTGTGTCTGTGTGTGTGTGTTTGTGTGTGTGTTTGTGTGTGTGTGTGTGTGTGTGTGTGTGTGTGTGTGTGTGTGTGTGTGTGTGTGTGTGTGTGTGTGTGTGTGTGTGTGTGTGTGTGTGTGTGTGTGTGTGTGTGTGTGTGTGTGTGTGTGTGTGTGTGTGTGTGTGTGTGTGTGTGTGTCTGTGTGTGTGTGTGTGTGTGTGTGTGTGTGTGTGTGTGTGTGTGTGTGTGTCTGTGTGTGTGTCTGTCTGTGTGTTCTGTCTGTGTGTGTCTGTCTGTGTCTCTGTCTGTGTGTCTGTCTGTGTGTCTGTCTGTGTGTCTGTCTGTGTGTCTGTCTGTGTGTCTGTCTGTGTGTCTGTCTGTGTGTTGTGTCTGTGTGTGTGTGTCTGTGTGTGTGTGTCTGTGTGTGTGTGTCTGTGTGTGTGTGTGTGTGTGTGTGTCTGTGTGTCTGTGTGTCTCTGTGTCTCTGTGTCTCTCTGTGTCTCTGTGTCTCTGTGTCTCTGTGTCTCTGTGTCTCTGTGTCTCTGTGCTCTGTGTCTCTGTGTTCCCAGGTCTCTGTTTCTCTGTGTCTCTGTGTCTCTGTGTCTCTGTGTTTCTGTGTCTCTGTGTCTCTGTGTGTCTGTGTGTCTGTGTCTCTGTGTCTCTGTGTCTCTGTGTCTCTGTGTCTCTGTGTTCTGGTGTTCTGTGTCTCTGTGTGTCTGTGTCTCTCTGTGTCTGTGTCTGTGTCTGTGTCTGTGTGTCTGTGTCTGTGTCTGTGTCTGTGTGTGTGTGTCTGTGTCTGTGTGTGTTCTGTGTGTGTCTGTGTCTGTGTGTGTCTGTGTGTGTCTGTATCTGTGTCTGTCTGTGTCTGTCTGTGTCTGTGTGTCTGTGTCTGTGTCTTTGTGCTCTGTGTCTGTGTTCAGGTTCTTGTCTCTGTCTCTGTCTCTGTCTCTCTCTGTGTCTGTGTCTGTGCTTGTGTCTGTGAAATCTGTGATCGTGTCTGTGTCTGTGTCTGTGTCTGTGTCTGTGTCTGTGTCTGTGTCTGTGTCTGTGTCTGGCGGGCGGGGCGGGTCGGGGCGCCGGGGCGGGCGGGGCAGGGTGGGGCGCCGGGGGCGCTGGGGCGGCGTGGGCGCTGGCGGGCGCGAAGTGGCGCGGTACGTGATGCTACGCCAGCAAGGGCGCCGCGACGGGCGCTGCGGGCGGCGCCGCTGGCGATGCTGGATGCTGTTGCTGCCGCTGATAGCTGCTGCCGCGTGGCGCTGCCGTTAGCGCGGCGTGCGTGCGGCGCGGCGTATGCGGGTGGGTGGGTGGGTGGTGGTGGGTGGGTGTGTGTGTGTGTGGCAGCGGTATGCAGCGGTAAGCGTGTGCGCAAAGCGCGCGGCAGCGCAGCGCAGCGCAGCGCAAAGCGCAAAGCGCAGCGCAGCGTGTGCGTGTGGTGCTGGTGCCGCGTGGGTGGTGGTGGTGCGTGGGGTGGTGGGTGGGTGGGGGTGGGTGGGTGGGGTGGGTGGGTGGGTGGGGGTGGGGGTGGGGTGGGTGGGGGTGGGGTGCGGTGCGCGTGCGTGCGCGCGTGCGCGTGCGCGTGCGCGTGCGCGCGCGTGCGTGCGTGCGTGTGCGCGTGGGTTCGTTCTTAGGTGCAGGGTGGAGAGAGGGGTGAGGGGTCAGGCGTTGAGGGTTCGCCTGAAGGCTACCATAGCTGCAACGTCCATTCATTGTGAGATGCTTCGTTTATTGGTGAAGCGCCTGGGGAAGAACAATTCAATGACCAGTTAACTATGTTCACAGGCACCTCAAGACACTGGACCCCTGGCATCAGTTTGACGCATTGCCTGCAAGAGAGGAGTCCTTTCTAGGTTCCCTTGGGTAACACTAGATGGCACTGGTTTAGATTAGTTTGATTCCATTTTCCAGGCCCATCTATTTTTTTCCAAAAGATCACCTGGCAGACTGCACCTGGTGCATGAAGTTGAACCCTGAAATCCCCAAGGCCCTCAAGCGCTCCCGCCAGGTGCTTCCGCCCCTGCGCCCACGGAGACCAGTGCTCGCATCAAGGCGCTGGCTGCAGCAGCGCAGCGGGAGCTGCAGGAGGAAGAGGAGTGGAGCAACGGACTCGAGTCACCGCAGGGCTTCAATGTTGGCTCTTTGTGTTGTCGCCTTGTTCTGTGACGATTCGTGCCAGTTGAGCGTACTCCATATTCCTTGAATAGCCCCATCGTTTCGTGGAACCAATTGCTGCTGAATCCGCGTGCTCAACTTGTGCTAGCGGCTTCTCCTTCTTCTTGAAAGAGTCTCTTCTGAAACACGTTTGGGGACACTCGCTTGTGACCCATTGGCATGAACGGCAAGAGCAAGGTAATCAGGAGGCATATTGCCCGAAGGAGCCAGAGGATGCCGCGGAAGACTGGGCTCAGCGGCAGCTGGCGGTTGGGCTACACAAGCGCAAAGCACAGGCCACGGCATCGCTCGGTGACGACGCCTCCTGTTTGTTGCTTTGTTGATTGGTAAATTCGTTCCCCCCGCCACCCTTCCAGTGCCCCCCCCCCCCGTTCTTGTTCATGCTCAAGTTGGCAGAAAACGAGGCCTGTTTTGTGGTTGCAACTTTCCTGGTGCAGGCCCGTGCGGTGCGTCAATTAATTGACTCGTGCTGCGAGCAGCAGGCTGTAAAGATCAAGGCAGCATGGGGCCACAGGAAGGCCAGACGCAACCATGAAGGATTTCTGGAAACTACGGCTCTTTTGAGCCGTGGTGTTGGGCCTTCACTAGGTCCCCCAGTACCTTGAGCCTTTTTTGGTGGAGGTTTCCCCTACTAAATGGACTACAGAAAAAAGGGTATCCTTATTCTAACCTCTCCACTGGAGGACCTAGCTTATGTTCTACTTGAGGACCTAGCTTATGTTCCTTCTATGTCCTGCTTCTGTTCCTGGTGTTAGTGTTCCATGCCCTTGGCGAGCCTGGCTTTGCTCGTGATTGCTCGTGCGTTTTGAGAGGCACCCGTGGAGGAGCTCGACCTGGAGCAGGAGCCAACGGCGAGCCAGCGAAGCCGCTGGCCATTCTCTTCACGAGTTCTGTTTGGAAACCACCTATGTTCCAGATTTTTGGCATATTTTGGCCATTTTTGAAGAGAAGAATCCCTGAAGCGAATGGGGACAGCTAGATTTGTTCTTAGCTGTGTTGTTTTTGTTGCCAGGGATGAATCGCAACCATTCAGATGTGGGGCTTGAGCGGGCACGGAACTTGGACCAGGTGTTTTAGAGCTCCGGTGCGTGGCTCGATAGTTCAACCAGTTTTTGCGGAGTGTTTGGTGCCTTACTGGAGCAATTTGCCGTTGGGTCAAAATTAAACCACCAGAAAGCCGCAGGTTTTAGTCTTTGGTTCCCAATTTTGACCCACACGCTGAGATGTGTTTGGTTCCAGCCACTGCTGAAAGGAGATCATGCAGCTGAACCAGGAGGGCGTGTCCCAGGTTCGGAAGGCTGCTGAGCGGGTGGCCAAGGGCCACAAGGGGGAGGAGGCAGTCCGGAAGCAGGAGACAGCTTCTCGGAACTTAATCTGCGAACGAGGCTGTTACCTTCAGGGGGTTGCATAACTGCCAAAAGTCCAGGGTACATGTGCTCGTTGGTTGGTGTTCTCAGGGGACCCCTCCAAACGACGGCTTTTCCCTTTGAGACCAGCCTGCTGCCGAGGGCCTGCTGGTGCCCAGCGATGCCATGGCTAAGCTCTGGGAGAGCCTCCAAGGCCTGGAGAGCTCCGCGACCAACCGCGAGGCCAAACTGGAGGAGCGGACGCCCGAGACCAGGTTTGTCATCATCTAAATTTGGTCCCAAAGCCATTCTTTCAATGGGGGGTTGACCCTAGGGTGAACGCATGTTGTGGGGAGTCTTGACACAGGCGCTTGTAGACTGGCAGTCACGAGATGACATGTGGCTGTGGGTCAAAACCTATTGCACCATTTTGGGGTAGGTGCACCACCCATGTATGTCTATTTTAGTGAGGATTGGGATGCTCACTGGGGGTACGATTTGGCTTTCGACCCATGGCCATGTGTGGGAGCCTGGCGTTGTTTGCAAGCATGATGGGCACCTACGTCTTGCGGTGCGAAGCCATGGGCGCTGGACAGGAGCTAAAGTCGCAGCGGGACGCCGCCCAAGACGAGCTCCGAGAGATTGCGACTTGGCTGCAATCGGTCAGTTGGATGGCTCGTCATTTTCCCAGGGTGCCAGCATTTTGGTGGTGTTAAAGGGATACCGAAAGGAAAACCACAAATTGGGGGGTCCCTGCGGCCATGAAGTTCTTGTCCCTGACAAAGCCATGTTGTATCCAGCGCGAGGAGCGGCAAGACAAGCAGTTGAACCGAACCTTGCGCTGCGTCCGTGAGTTGCTTGTCTGCAAGGGCAGCTAAATTGCAAGAATAAGCGGGAGGGGGCTATGCATGGTGACCATGACCATAAATGTCACACATAAATTGACACTGCGTCGACAAAAAGTGCAGTATTCACTCCACACCGTGTGCAGCGGGGTGATCAATTATCCCCAAACCTGGGCCGAGCATGTGTTGACATTTGTTGATCACAGCGTTGACACTCGCATAAACAGATCCGGGGATTTTGGATAGCTATGGGTTTCAGACCTATGCGCAAGAATTGATCTGCGCACTGCTCGTCCATTGCTCGTCCAAAGGCTTGAGGAGTCGGCTTGGAGTCTTGGCGGCCTGCTGGATGAGAAGTCCGGAAAGTGCAAGCAGGCAGCAGCCGGGGGAGCAAATGACAAGGGTCCCGCTGCTTTTCCATGTTGGATGGAGGGGAAACTCTGAAGCAGGCACGGACTTGCAGCGTAGATCCCGTAAACGTATTGGTAAACCTGGGTCAAGGTCTTGGCAGTTCTTCGTTGGTTGGCTGTACGCGTGCATGGGCTGGCCGGTGCCAGGATTGCCATTAGAGCGCTTTGGGTGCGGCACTTCCTATCATTCACGTGTTGCAGCCGGGACGACTGCACAGCAGTAATCCACCAGCATAGCCACAAAAGATTTAGTTCATTCCCTGAGCCGCGCGTGCAAACCTATGTAACTGTGGGAAACCACTGTGGAATCAACTTTATCCTATCACTGTCTTCAGCGGAAGCTCTCGGCTAGATGTCTGGCCACAAGTCTAGATTGTGGTTTGGAGGCCATTTACTAAGACCAGCAAATGTTCCGAGCGGAGACTTGCTATCCGGGCATGGGTGGTGGGTTCAAGCGCTGGCCAGGCCACTCAGATGCTGGCGCAGATCGAAGAGGACTTTGTCCAGCGCAGATCTCGACGGCGAATGCGGGACATGGCAGCAGCGCTGCGTGCAGTCGGAGCGTCACTGACCTACCAGCAGTCCTGCGCAGAGGCGGGGCTTAGCGCCTGGCTAGTTTTTGCACTTTGCCACCGCCTCCTTGTGAGTTACATAGGCATTTGGCTGACTCGCTGGCAGAAAGAAGGTTCTTTCAAATGGTTAGCATCTGGTGGGGATACGGCCTGGTCCCATCAAGGCGTGTCAAAGATGCACTGGGCGCAGCTCCTTTACGTGGGTTTGCCTTTTTCGTTGTGTGTAGTTGCTTGAGACAGAAGGTGGGGATCTCAGCGCAGTTAGCCCTTGAATCATGCCATCACGGGCAGCGCAGGCAGATGATGGCGAGGACAAGGAGAAGGAGAGGGCAAGTGACTTGAAGAGTGCAGTTGCAAGCAGGAATTCACCAAAGACTGCCACGATCCTGAGATTATGAGAGTAAGCAGCGGAGGTGGACCGCTGGCTGATCACCACTTGAAATGCTCGCGGTCAGTGATTGCGAGTGAGTTCTAAGCCATTTCATCACCAGCCGGTGCTGATGCACCAGTGTCAGGATCCAGAAGAGGAGGAGAAGAAGCAGGCAGCATCGCGAGAGAGACGGCGGCAGAGACGTCTCCTGCGGAAGCCGACGCTGGATGGCTGGGACACATCAGATGTGAGCGAAGATGATGGCCGCTTGGCTTGAAGGACTTTGCCCAGGACAATCGATCTTCAATCAACAGTTCAGTCAGCTGTGATAGAAAAATTATCCTGCTGAATTTGATACAAGGGCTTGAGCCCTGAAACATGAATACTGGTCATGCAACAACGTGCCCCTATTTTCTTGCTTGTTTGATGCTGAAGTCAGGATGGCTGTCAAACAAACATCATGTTATCTCACTTTACCATATTTGGTTCATAGGCAATTCGATATGTCGGGGGAAGATCATGTTGCTTGGAGATGCTGGGTTGAGACATTTCTTGGCTATCAACAGGTTTTCCGAGGCTTGTTTTCAAAGTCAGCTTGGAGTCTCCACACGTTAAGGTCCAGGATCCGGGTGCATCGGCCTTTCCCAGGAAAGTGTGCTTTTCGTTATGGCTACTTGGTTGGATCTTTAGACTTTAACACTTGGTCGAAACAGGGGCTTTTTACCATTGGCCCAGTCCAGCTTTGTTCCGAGGGCTAAAGGCAACCAAGCTCCGGCGCACCTGCAACGGCTGGGGGTCTCCGTTCGGGTCACTTGAGCCATCAAAACCCGGGCAGACGAAGGTTAGGGGCAGTCCCAGCCAGAAATCGTTGCCGATCTCCGCCTTCTTCATTGCCATGGCTCTGGGTGGACCATTTGAATACTGGGTTTTGATTGTGACCCATGAGCCGCGGTCAATTGACTTATCTACTCTTGCACCACTAATAAATGGTTGCTCCGTTTGCCCAATACGCATGTGTGTACAGGTTGTGCGACTCTGTGTTTTGACTCACTTGGACGGCTTCCGGTCTCGCGTGAGGCTTTCAGCAGGCGTCCAAGGATCGGAGCAGCTTCTGCGATGCAGTGCATTGCCAGCTCTTCAAGGACCTCGGTCGGTGGAAAACAAAACCCTCAGGTCTGGGTTAGGGAGCTATTTTGCGAGTGTACCCGTCTGAGGGCTTCCATTTGCTTAAGAATATTTTGTTCTTTTCCCTTGTTGGTTTAAAGGGAATCGATCACTACTGAAACTGTTTTCATTTTCCCCGGGGGCTTAAGCAAATGGAAGTGAGGGTTAAAGGGAACCTGTGATTAGCCATGGTTTAAACCATCACCAGGGACGTCGCGATAGTGACTGACCGGTGGTGTTTGGCTCAAGTTTGCGGGTCCGTCGCGCCTCGGATGAGCGTCGCCGGGTCCCCGCGTCGATCACCCACATGTCGGTGGAGAAAGAGACATGGGCCCGGGGCAGATTGGTGGGGATCGCCCGTGCGGTTCATCGTCGATCAAGGTTGCGGGTATTTGCATTCTTGTTTTGGTTTTTCCTTTTTGGTTGTTGTTCTGATTTTTGGGACCGGGGATTGGTTTGCTTTTGGGGAACCTTTCTTTGTGGCTTGTTTACCCCAACTTACCCATTGCCTGGGCACAGGCTCGTGCCAGAATCACAGGTTATCAGCCGTAGGATTTTCCTACGCGCTTGAGACCATCAACTACAAGCTCTATGACGTCGACCCCACGTTCACATAGGAGTGTCGTGGATGAGGAGGCAATCCTAGGTGGTCTCCGATCAGGCGAGGACTTGCCGGACTACGAGCACGGGGACTTCGAAGCAGGTTCAGCAGGTCAGGACCGTAGGGGTGATGATCTCGATAGGGACACTGACGATGGAGACGACCGCATTTTCCGTCAGGTTACCGATGATGAGCAAGGACGAGGGGCTCGCTCCGATAGGGGCGGCTCCAAATCAGGTTTCGGACAGGTGCCGTTGGACTTCATCAGCATGGCGATGAACATGGCCCGCCCGCATGTAGGGGACCAGGCTCTGCCCATCCGACCTCCCAGTCACTTTTTCCAGGTGAATCACAGGCCCCAGGACAGCTCGAGGACAGGCCGCGAGGACCAGGAACCATGGTTTCGGTACTGAGAGATATCTCGGGTCGATCAACTGGGTCTCAAAATCCAGGTCAGTTTGATGAGCACGAGGAGAGAGCGTTCGCAGGCATCGGATACGACGCCCTATTGTCTTCACTGCTGGATGGGGCAGTAGCGTGCAACGAGAGACCAACGTTGATAGGCACGGTCGAGTTTCAACGAGTTCTGATGTACATGATGACGATTAGGATCATGCTGAATTTGCGGGTGCTCGTGATGAGGAAGAGAACCTGTCCCGCAGAAGTGCGAGGAGCCGTTCTGCTGCAGTGGCCAGGAGTCCGACTCGGGGAGCTGCAAGAGACCTCCGTGAGGACAGGGGGCTGGAGACAATCCATGACAGGAGAGGCCGAATGTTCCCCCTTTCCCCAACATCACATGTGGAGGACCGCTGCATCAGAGAGTCAAGGACACTGACCGAAATACTGGTTCACCCAGGACCGTCAAGCGTGCAGCCAATGCGGTTGAAGCAGGCGGGAGGCTAGCAGGTGCGCTTGGAATTGAGGATCGCTCGCCGATCGCAAGCCCGTTAGGGCGCGATCTCAGCGACCTCGAGCCACTAAGGTTGAGCAATGAGTTCACTCCTCAGTGGGGATCTGCCAGCAGGGAGCGTAGTGCTTCTGCAAAGAGGCCATCGCCCTGAGGGATGAGGGCGTGTTCGATCCTGCTGATGTCCACATTCACTCCAATCCCGAACCCCATAGGTCTGATGTTATTCCCAGATCTGGCGATAGCCGGGGAAGGGATATCAGTCCGAACAGGCCACCGAGAATTGCTGATCGTCCTGTATTTCCTGAATTTAGGGGACGCGCTAGCAATGAGAGGCTTCCTGAGAGGGTTGAGATATCGACCCCTCCGGCCCTCAGGTCTCATTCATCAGGCGACTCCGGAGAAGCTAGGGTAAAGGAGGTGTTCGACTTGCACATCCAGGAGATATTCGAAAGAGGCGAAGCCTCACACTCGGTCGTGAACACCCTCAATGCTTTTGCTGACCAGATCAGGTTACTGAACGGTCAGGTGAGTTCCATGCGCCGGGAATGGCGTGATGAAAATCAGCAAATGAGGGACAGGGTTAGCCGTCTGACTACTGAGGTCGCGAATCGGGCAGACGCCGACCGAATGCGATTGATAGTTCAACGATTTGCTGCCGAGGTGATACCTGACAGCAGGGCGATCGTTAGGAACGCCATCGATGAACAGAGCGTTGTGATAGATGAAAGGATCAACTCCCTCCTCACTGAGGTACAGAGTTCCGTTAGGAACATCGAGAGCGGGATGAGCCAGCTTCATCAGGCCATTGGGGACAAACATCGCGCCATTTTTAGGAGTCAAGGTGCCTTTGAGGACCAGACCAACACTGAGATTGAGAAGTTCGAGAAGCGAGTCTTTTTAGTAGAAAGGGCCGTTAGGTCACTTCCATCCTCTGGTACCCCGGCTGCATCAGGGCCCGATAGGGCTGCCAGCAGCGGAACTACCGAGAATGGAAGAAAGGCGAAGGAGACCGACATGCTGAGCGGGCTACCAGGGTCATCGAAGAGCTTCAGACCGAGCACAGGTCGCTTGCTGATCGGTTGCTGGAAACGTGGAGAGACAGGGGATCCTGGGACCCCTTGATGCCTCACAGGATTGGCGTGCGGTTATCGAAGAAGTTAATCGTAAGATTCAGGATCTCACTCGTAGGGTTTACCGGGTATCGCAGAGGTATGATACGGTTGTCGAGGATGTCGGGACCACCAACTCTCAGATAGCAACATTCAACGAGAACAGCCAGAGACTTCAACACACTGTGCAGGCCATGAGAGCGCAGCTTGCGACTGTTCCTTCGAGTGTCGAGCAGACGCAGGCCGTCGTTAGACGGCAAATGGTCTATACTATCGCAACATGATGGATGCATGTATGCGAAGGCTCGGGGCTGTCGAGAACAACATGCGTGTTCTGAGTGAAATGAACACCCGTGTTATGGGACAAATTGCTGAGCTCGAGGGAAACGTCGACGATGCGGCGGACATGATCCAATATGCTCAGCAGAACCCTTGTGGGCCCCGAGGAAGGCCGAACGTAGGACACGACGCGTTTGCTGGACAGGGGCACAGGATCAGGTCACTGACGCCTACACCTGAAGATCGAAGTGCTCAGGGTGTTAACCCGTCAATCGGTCAAGGTGGAGGCATCAGCAGGCCAGGTGCGGCGGCGAGAGAGGCAAGTGGAGATGATCTCCACTCCGCGCTTGGTAGATCTTCGGCAAAGGACGCGGTAGCGCCCTTGACAGCCTCCAAGGCAATGGCGGAGTGAGATCAGACTGCACTCGGCGGAGCGAGCTGCTGCGAGCCCGGTAGAAGGTCGCTTCAGGACGCTGCCAGAAACCCCGATGGTGGATGCGTTCCTGGCGATGTCCTCCAACAGGGTGCTCAACAGACAGGTTAGAGACGGAGAGGAAGGCTCGGCGTTGGAAGCTCTCAAGCAGATTGTGGCGAACTCCCAGAGCGGGCACGTCGGGGTACGGATGTCTCCCGCACGCCCTCTCGAAGGTTCGTTAGGACTCAGGACGCCAGGGATTCTCGAGAGTCGACGCAGGTGTCGACCGCGAAGAGACGAAGATCGAGACCGAAGGAGAGATGATCGTCGGGATCATCGTGGTGATGAATCGCTCGCGAGAGAGGGACGGACGTGACCGGAGGAGACGTGATGACAGCCGATAGGCTGATTCACGAGGGTTGCGGCCGATAGGCTTGCGCTCATTCTCCGGTCGGCGCCGCGGGGTGATGATTGTGATCCTCCCGCACCGCTGAGGCGCGGAGTTCATGTCTCTTCTGAACCGCTGTTTGGCTGCTGGTCGTGATCTCCATGAAGCAGTATGAGTGAGAGGGGATGCAAACTGGTGGAGGATACTTGCAGGTTTGCGGAATTTGTGTGTTTTCAAGTAAGCATGGTCAGGAGTGCCTCTTGCCGATAGGCGAGGGTACTGGTGGACATACGTTATCTTTTTCATGGCTTCTGATAAGAATTGGACTTGCATTTCTGATGCAAACAGTTGTGGCCTATTGTCGTCATGTGGACTCTTCCACAAGGTATGTTGGACAGCGTTACCCCGATTAATTCGGGGTGGTGGCGGACATTTAATGCCCGGGATGTCGCGCGACTGCCTTTGTGGGTTTGCTCCACCGCTGACGGCGGTAGTGTCCAGCTGTTTGCGGACGCATGCGAGCAGTTAAATCCTGTCAGTAAATGGCACGCTCCACCCTGTCAGATGACGGGCACCTCGTGAGGGGTGTGTGATTAGCCATGGTTTAAACCATCACCAGGGACGTCGCGATAGTGACTGACCAGTGGTGTTTGGCTCAAGTTCGCGGGTCCGGAAACATGCTTTCCTTTCAACTGACTCTCAACACCTGGCGCAAGATGACGAGCTCCGCAGTGGCAATTGACCTCCGCGCGGCAGGATGTGTCTGAGGAGTTCAGCAGCGCGTCAGCAGTGCTGAAGGCGGGGCGTTGCAAATCCGAACTTGCAGCCTCAATCAGATAACAGTCCTAGGACACCGGCCTTCAAAATGACATTGCGCGAGCGGTCCTACTAGGCTTGCTTGCTTGTCCGGTTGCCAATTCTTGGCACCGGATTGTTGTGAACCTTGATCTTCTGTGGGCTAGGCCGGCACTTTTGTCCCGCGCTCAAAGGAGGGGCGCTTGAAATGGAATCATTGATTCTTTCAAAGGCTCGGGCAATAAAGTTGGAAGTTCGGAAAGTCGCATACTCAAACTCTGCTACAGAGCATACATAAGGGCCTTGCAATGGAGCATCGGAGGCTCAGAGCGGCAATGCTTGGCCCTGCAGGCTGAATCCAGTTGCTGTCAATGTTCTTGCGGCTTGTTTTCATCAAATTCCATTCCGCCCGTTGTTCTCAATTCGTACTGTAGTGGGTAGGTTTGGTTGGGTTGGCCCCGTTTGCTTTAGCAAGGTGTCCCCTTGAAAACCCACAATCTACAAATCAGCCCCTTTGACCACATGGTGCTGCCTTTGCCTATGGGTTGGCCCTTCCCATCAACCTTCAAGCTGGTTTTTCCGTCAAAGGCATGCCAATCCGGGGCCCCAGACTGCCAGAGGCGGCACGCGCACGCGGGTAAGCAACCAGGCCTTGAAGTCCTCGAAGCAAAAGCTGCAGGAGGAGTACCGCCAGGCAGGGAGTTGCATTCGACGGTAAGCTGCTTCGGTGGGTTTCCGAACCGCACGGCGGATCGTGTGATTGCTTCAGATATCTTTGGATCTTTGTTTTCGCCCTTGCAAGGCAGAAGGCGTGGCTTTTTGTATGGGAATCAACATGCCTTATTTCGTCCATCGACTGCAAAACCTTGAGCCCAAAACGCACCAAATTCTCACAAGTCCAACATGGCTTCTGAGAGTTATGGCGCTGCGGCAAAACGTGGAAATACCGGCACAGTTGACTTGTGAGAAACAGGGCTTCGCCGGCCCCAACCAGATTCTCCTTTTTTTTCTGGAGGAAGAGGCTTGGACCTCTGGGCCAATGGAGGCGCCGGCCCTCGTAGCCCTAAAGTTGGTACTTCGTGGCCCAACATGTCCACAGGCAGCACCTCGTAGTCCAGCATTTTTTTTCGGGCGCAGGAGCACACACCTGAAAAAGCCATAAGCGAAGCACCACTGGACCTGTCTTTCCTTGAAATGCAATCCTCAATAATTGCGCCCCGCGTTCCCGAAATCGAGATACCTTTTACAGGATTCAAATCAGGCGATGTGGGCTACTGTATCCTTCCATTTGCTCAACACCATTATTACAAAAAAAACAACCTCTTATTGTTGTTTTTCTTATGGAATCCCTCTAGACATGGTTCTTGGCTTTGCGAGCTGAAGGCCTTCGTGCACTTGGCGCTGCCAGAGGTCTTCGGCTTCTTCGTGGAGCACTCCACTCTCTGGCGCGGAGGGGTTGTTGGGGGCGGGGGGGGGGGGGTGAAAGGGGAGGGGGAGCTAGAGCTGCTAGGCATGACTGGTTTGCGAGCCTTGGGGTGGGGGGGTCTCTGCAAGATCTTAGAACTGAAGGGAGTTGGCTACAACGGGGCAAAGGGGATGGCAGGGGAGGGTTTGGCCACCAGGCGCAAGTTAGACATGGCTTGTGAGCCTTGGGCTGGGCTCTGGAGGGGATTTTGCTCTCATTTTGCGAGGGAGGGCCCTGCATGATGAGAAGGGCGAGCGACTAGCCTGACTCAACTATCATCCGGTATCGACGGGTGTTGTGAGATTGCTGCAGGTTGGAATTGACATTCCGCTGCTACCATTGGCATGGCTGGTATTTGCGAGTTGCAACTGACATTCCGCTGCTGTCATTGGCATGGCTGGTATTTGTGAGTTCTGCGCACCAGCTGCTTGAACAGCATTATCCTGCTGGGACCTGTCACATCAAGCGGCATGGTTGAAGTCTTGTTATGCCAACTCATGCGACCCGTGGTCAGTGGTCAGTGGTCAGCAATCCCGGCTGACACCGAAATAATTTCAATCATTCAGTGCAATCTCTAGGGCTTGCAGGCTCTTGCACACATGCCGGTCTTGCTCAGGGTGTCCCTGTTGGCGTGGGTTTGGTCATGAATCCCCACCGAATTCTGATGTCCAGCAAAGGGCCCCTGTTCATACCCATGAAGATGGCAGGCTGGTCTTTGCTGGGCCTTTCTCCGCCGCGTTTCTCCGCGCATCCAGGTGGGACCCTCTGAGCCTTTGCGCCACTCACGGGGCGAATTGGGGCCCCAAGAAGGCGCTGCTCAGCACTCAGCTGGAAGCCTTCGACTGGTTCGAGGACACACCAAGAGAAAGCGAGAAAGAGAAAGAGAAAGATAGAGAGAGAGAGAGAGAGAGAGAGAGAGAGAGAGAGAGAGAGGAGGGAGGGAGAGGGGGAGAGAGAGAGAGAGAGAGAGAGAGAGGGAGGAGGGAGGGAGGGAGAGAGAGGGAGAGGGAGGCGGGAGGGAGAGGGAGAGGGAGAGGGAGGGAGAGGGAGAGGGAGAGGGAGGGAGAGGGAGAGGGAGAGGGAGAGGGAGAGAGAGAGAGAGAGAGAGAGAGAGAGAGAGAGGGAGGGAGGGAGAGGGAGAGAGAGGGAGGGAGAGGGAGGGAGAGGGAGAGAGAGGGAGGGAGAGGGGGAGAGAGGGAGGGAGAGGGAGGGAGAGAGATGGCCTTTTTTGGGGGGTCAGGCATTGCCGAATTCTATTGCATAAAGCAAGGCTGCCTCGCGCCTTTGATGCTTTTTCGAAACAGGCAATCGCCATTGAGACCTTCATGAAGATGTGTCGCAGCTCCAGCTGCATTTCCACGGTCGGCTGTACAGAGACAACTCCAGCAACACACATAGGCCACGTAGACCCATTTAGTGCCAGCGGGTCAAAAACCAAGTACGTGAAACTGGCCAGCTGGGGCAGACATGGCATGTTTAGAACGGCACGGGATTAAATTCGTGACTCGGGTCTTGAAAAGTATCGCCACACTCTCATGTAGAGCAACGCCCTTGATGCTGGCAAACTTTCTGGGCATTCCCCGCCACATGCTTGCAGGGTGCTTGTTGACTCGTGGCTTTCGGCGGTGCGATGGTTCGCAAAACAGCAAGTCTCAGCTTGCGGCATACGAAACGTATCGCAGGACATGGCAGCCTTCACCGAGATCATGGGGGATGATGACCCCGATGGCGAGCATCCTGGCAGCAGTTCGGCTGCCGGTGCTCCAAACCTTTCTTTTGGATGACGGGTCAGGGAGCATGGCCATGAAGATCCCATTCGATCAATGTGTAGGCCCGTGGGCTTCATTGCTAAATGATCCTGCACTTTTCGTCCTCGAAGCCGTCAAGAGTGTTGGGCATGTTTGAGGGGAGGTGAACCTATGATAGCACAGGTGATGATTGTGACAGCTGCCCTGTCAATCAACTGGGCTGAAAAGCCCCAATAAGCTGGCCACAGGTTGGTCCCCAAGATCGTGAAGCAGTGCATCTTCCCCGAGGTCGCCCGACGGCTGCCGCTGCCCAAGCCGTGCTACAAGGGTATTCGGCACCCGCAGTTGTATAGGTTCAATTGTGGTACGAATTGTGGTATTTGTTGCCTTGTAATTTGTCAGTGTTTCGATTTTGCGTTTACAATTGTTTACCTCAAGGTCTTGGCGCCCGTTATTCCTTTCTTCCATTTTCGGCCGGATCTCTTCGTTTCGCATTGTTTTGTTTGTGGCTTGCTACTGCGTTGAATGACGCCAAAAGGCGCAAATGATGCTTCGCCTGGCCAGAAAATGAGTCAACAGAAACGCATCAAGTTGAGACGTTCCTAGCTTCTATGTAGGATGGGAGGCTGAATTCTCGAATGCCATGGAACAAACCCCTCACGAGGCCAAAGCTTAGATGGGCATATGGCCCTTCCGTGAGGCAGAAACTACCGGAAGCAGGTAGATTGCTCCAAAGGATGCTACGCCGCGCTGAGGCGTCAGTGTTGGGATGTCACGTGCCTGGAGCAGAGCAAGAAGGTGGCAGCACTCCTGGACGAGTGCCTCCTGTTCGAGGTAGGGAAAGAAGGAATACTTTTCAGGGTGCGGGCGGGTTTTTCTTGAGTCATGTGCTGCATGTTGGTTGTTCTAGCGCAGAAATACATGAGAATACATGTGCTCCTTCCTTGCCAAGAGTTTTGCGGGGCCCTGCGCTAGGTGGGTGAAGATGGAGGCTTCAACACGTTGCTGCAGGCAGCCTTGGAGCGCCTGCAGATGGGCCTCCGGGACTTTGCGCCGGAGCTTCGGGCCAAATGGGGAGTCCGGAGGCAATTGCCAGCACAGATCCGTCCGGGTTTAACAGCATTTGGGAATAAAAAGCGTTTGGTGCTGATCGAATGCGTTTCGGGCTGAGTGGGGTGCTGATTGGGCTTGCTTGCCTGAGCATGCTGGAGTGGCAGTCGGATGTCCGCACTTGTGCCAGTTTGCTAGGGTTTTTGGCGGCTACTCAGTACTCAAAGGCTGCCTGGCCTACCGCGAAACGCCCAAGGACAAAGTTGATGCCCCTGGAAGCGCACGGTGGGAGGAAACCCTACTAACCTGGACCTTCATTCGTTACACCCTTGGGTGTTTCGTAGCAGAAATTTGCTAGTCGGGCGTTTTTTTTTTTCCGGGGGAACGGGCACAATTTTGGATTCGAGCATTTTTGGCTACTGCGGCGGCTTCTCTCATCTCATATAGCCTGTTGCGTGGAAACATGTGAAACATACCCGCAAAACGGGCGCAAACACCCGCAAAACGAGCGCAAATACCCGCAAAACGAGCGCAACTCCAAAACATGTAGCACTTGGTATTTTGCAAGAAGCCCGTGTTCATGAAACGAGCGCTTTTTGGGGAACGAGCAAATTTTGGATCATTGGGCGAAAATAGATGCCCCGAGCACTTTTCTTTCGTGACACAAATTTATGTAACAATGGAAGGTCCAGAAAAATAGACTACAGAAAAAATGGGTACCCTTATTCTATCCTCTCTACTGGAGGACCTAGTTAATTAAAGCTGTCAGCTTCTTTGGAGCCGAAGCAGATGGCTAACGGCTCAGGAGGTCTTCGTTCCAGCCACCTCCGTGACTGCCTGGTATACCTCAGAAGCGCGAACGCGCCTGCTGTGGCGGTGTTGCAAGCCCCCTGGCAAATCCATGCAAGGCTTTTTGAGCGGGCCTGGGCATGCCTGGCTTGCACTTTGCATGCACCAGTTTGACAGATGGATGGACTTGCATCAGTATCAAATTGAGAGCTGCCTAGGACCGTCGCAATCCGGTTCTGGCTCACTGGATCAGCGCAACAGTTCTGGGTGCGGCTTTTTTGAGGGTATGTCTGTTTGCACGGAGGGCAACCAAAAGGACACCCAGTTTGGGGGGTCCTTTTTGGGGCTCCAAATCCCACAAGAGACACAGCCTGTAGAGCCAGGTCCGTGAGCTCCGGTCGATTGTATTCGTGGTGTCTCCCAAGCTACGTTGAGCCCCAAGCATTTCCCTGGGAAAACCCGTGCCACCTGCCTTCTTCCCGTGGTCGTTTGAGGCCGTCAGGTTTCTTGAAGGCAGGTCTGCACTGGGGGCCATTTTTAGTATCAAGAAATTTCTTTACAAGCCCCGACGTAGATTTGTAGCATCGCCTTCTTGTAGCTCTGTGAGAGTGGTTTTTCTCAGTTACTCAGTGAAGCAAACCAAGTGCTTGCCCAGACACCACGCAGGTTCTCGAATTTTCCACCACGTCGATGGGTTCCGAGCGGATGATCGGTTCCAATCGCCCCGACGCCCTTTCCGAGGATCGCCCACTGCGCGGCGCAGTTGGAGGGCCGCCTGCCGGAGGAGCAGCTGAAGCCGCTGCTGCTGGAGATCTTTGGCACCCGCCTGGGCCTTGGTGGGATTGTGGGACGGTTGGAGGGGGGCGACGGTTGGAGGGGGGCGGCGGTTGAGGAAGCGGGGAAGGGAAGGGTGTAATTAAACTTTTGGGGGGAGGGGGGTCCATATATGGGGCCAGGGCCCAAGTACGGCAGGGAAGTAACTTTTTACTCGGCAATCAAACCCTGTGAGTCAGCGTCCAGGATTGTTTGGAGAAGGTAAGTACGCTCCAATTTCTAGCAGGGGTGCTTCACTTCTGCATAGCGGGCCACTTGCTTGATATGTGAGCTGGGGCGGTGCTGGAAAGCATGGCTGCTTTTCCTTTTGTCAGTGGTGCAGGCAGATGTTTGGCGTCTTCACACAGAGTGTTTTTGTTGCTGCCTGCCAGGCGAATATCATGAATCACCGATGTTTAAGTGAAGTGTAGACATGGTACTGTATTTGTGTACATACGCATGTCATATACGTGTTTATATGTATATATATATATATGTATATATAATCCCTCCTACAATAAAACATAATCGCAGGGTAAAATGTACCTATGGGAATTTCAATTTCTCAGCCCTCACAACCAGAACTGTGCCGCATTGGGCTTGTCAGCGCCGCTGTTTGCTCAGTGATATCTAGAGATGGCAGCGTTGGCCGCCATGTCGAGAACAGCCATTGCTGGCTGCAGCTGAGGCGGTTTTCCGCGGGTGGGCTTTCCGGGTAATTCAGCCGTTTTTGTTTTCTTGCGTGGCTGATTTTATTATGATGCTGGCAGTGGCCGAATGAGTTGATCTTGAGGCGTTTGTTGTAATATGCGTTTCTAAGACTGGCAGTGGCAACAAAGGCGAATTTTGAGGTGCCAGCCAGCGTTGAGCAGTTTCTGTTGCCGGGTGCTGCCCCTTTTGTTCAGGAATCCGGCAAGAGCACAGATGGAAAAGAGTATGGCGCTTTGCAGGCGCGTCAAGTCTTGGAGGGGGGGGGCTGGCTATGAAATTTTCTGGCCTATCGTGGCACGAGTTCTGTTGAAGCAGAAGCAGGCAAATGGCACCGACCATGACGGGTTGCAGGCGTGTCCAGTTTTGGGTACGACATGGTACGTCTTTTCTCAAGCCTCCAGCCTGCGCAGGGTAGGGCCTGAACGAAAAGGATATGACTTGAAACAGCAGACACCCCCCCCCCCATGGTGTTGACTTTGAGGAGTTTCAGGCCTGGGTCAGCCTGGTGTTAGATAAACAGCAAGTTTTGGCAAGCGTGCGCGTGGCGACTCTTGACAAGGCTCTTCACCGATCTGTTCAGAGGGTGGTGCGTCTGAGGCCGGTCCATCCCGGTTCTTCCAAAACATCTATCCTTCGATTATTCTCTCGGGCTTGATTGGATTGTTTTTTTCACAAGGCCAAATTTTCCTCACTTTTTGATTTGCAATGGCCTCAGATTCCTCTACTCCAGCTCAGAAGACGATCTTCAAGAAGATCAGCCTGGAGAGTGCTGAGGACCTCGACTTGGACATCAAGGTCGGGAGTAGCAAATTCTCTGTGAGGGGTTTGGTGGAGAATTTCGATAAGGCAGGACTTGGTCAGGCTCAGCCGTTTGTATGGTCTCATGCATTCGGTGATGCGGACTTTCCTTCGCTTCATGCTCAGATGACAAGCTATGTGTCAACTGCGAAGGAGATCCTCAGCCTTTACACTGAGTCCGATGCTGGAATGGAGGTGAAAGACTTCTTCAGAAGAAAGAGGTGGTGGAGCTGATGGAAGCCTCATCTGCTGAGGTGGAAGACCAGAAGAAAGGAATCTTGGGAAATGACGAACCAAAGAAGTTCCTCTCCGAATTCTTGGGGAAGGAAGAGCATGTTCGTCAGAGATGAGCTCTTGCGGATTGTGGTCTCTGGAGGACTTGAAGAAGAGGCAGCTAGAAAACCTGAGGCTTCGAAAGAGGAGGCTGGAGAAGAAAAGGGTGCTGAGCCGGAAGAGCAGGAGGAAGAAGATCCTGGTGACAAGAAGTGGGATGATTGGTATCAATCCAAGGAATCCTTCCAATCAACAGGACAGTCATGGGGATCTTGGACGGATGCTCCTTCGAGAGGAAACAGGTACAACAAGTACCATGGCTTGCATGGAGAAGACGAAGAAGAGGAGCAAGGAGAGTGGGATGCTGACAAGGTGGAGGAGTACTCAAGGTACAAGGAGGAGCAGTGGGATGATGAGACTCCACTCGGCAAGTCAGGAACTCCGGGGAAACAGACCGGAAAGAGAGTCTCATTTCAGGAGAAAGGAGAAGGAAGTGGGACTAGCAAAGGAGGGAAAGGCTCCAGCAAGGGAAAGGGCTCCAGCAAGGGAAAAGGATCTGCTGAGAAAGGAGAGTCCGGCGATGGACAGAGAGACACCAGCAAGATGGTCACATTGCAAATTGGCAAGAAGACCTGGAGGCTTTACAAGTCGGACCTCGACCAGGCAGATCAGAATGTTGGAGCCCGAGTCATGGAGGTCGGGTACGACGAGCTGGTTGCCCTCTGTGAGGAGCACGGCAAAAGGGACATGCTAAGCCTCCTCTCCAGGTGGCTAGAGATCTCAACAGGAATCTCTACCGCCGCTTGAGAAATCACATTTCTCACGCCGTCTCACGAGACGGTGGAAGTGTCGAGTACTGCTCAGAAGTACGCCTTCAAAGTAGGCGCTACATATCTGAAGCAGGCTCATGGCTTGCGCTCCCGTCACGAGAGCTTGGTCTACGACCTCGCTACCAGCAAGACGACGCCCAACTTCCTCCCACTGGGGACACCGAAACAGAAGGTAGAAAAGTGGAGGTCGAGGTGGAATAGCACCCATCGGGAAATCATGAAGAAGGTTGAGATCCTTTTTTCGGAAAGCTAAGCATGGTTTGCGACCCCCCTTTTTGCACAGAAGGCTGCATTCTCTCTGTTTGCAAACTCGAAACGCTCCTTGCTGTGAAAAATGTATTCTTGGAGACTGCTATGACTCTTTGCTGGGTTCACACTTGCCATAAACCACATCTTGTTCTTTGGTTGTTTTGCTGCCGCGCCCTACGTCTGAGGTCAATGCAGAAACTACAAATAGGGATGAGTCGACGGACTGGTTGCGTCAGGTACACCGAGTCCGCATGGGGCCTGATAACTGAGTGCTTGCCCTTGTGGTTTGGGTCCCGAGGTGCAGTTTGAACTTTGGGGAATGCAACCTTTCAACTGTTCCTGTGCTGCCTTGACAGGTTGTATGTGCTGGTCCAGGCCTTGGATTTTGGCTGCAACATGTCAGATTCCAACGCTGATTGAGCCCTGTGGAGTAGTGACCGGACTCACGGAGACAGAGCCTTCTTGATGACGTGTCTGCTTTTGGTTGTGACAGGTCATGTGAGCTGGGTCCGAGCCTTGGATCCAACAGCTTTGTACTGTCAAGTCCACCAAGTCCGCTTGAGGCCCGATGGTCGAGCGCTTGCCTCCTTTGATGTTGAAAGCGGTTTGTCTTGCTCCAGGGCGGTTGTTCCCCCTTTTTCCTTTGGGTTGGGACGCCTGACCACAATGTCGCTCAGGCCGAACCAAAAAAGTGAGCTCCTCTGGAGCCTGAGAGGGCTAGTCTTAGACAATGCGCTGAGTGATGTCGGTGGCTTTGTTGGTGGGTCGGGTGTTTGGGTTGTTCTTTTGTTGGGCCCCCTTTCCTGAGGCGTGAACTGGAACATCGCTCGGGCTGTCGGTGGGCGCGATGTCTCCAGTTCGTGACCTGGTTTGGTGTTTTGGTGCTGGCCTGTGGTGGTTTGTTTTCGGCCCGGTCCCCTGGCTTGGCTTGCTTGGTCGCTTGGTTCTTCTGTTTTTGTGGGCCACTCGAAAGATCATCTGTGTCACACAGAAAGATCCGCTCGGATCTAACGCACCGCTCAACAAGACGTGCCTTGTACGCCCGGGGTTGGTTTCGTCAAAAGAAACCGTCAAAAGAAACCGTCGAAAGAAACCGTCAACTACTACTACTACTACTGCTACTACTACTACTACTACTACTACTACTACTACTACTACTAATATTACTATTACTACTATTCCTGCTTCTGCTGCTGCTGCTACTACTCACTACTACCACATACATCATTCTGAGTGTGTAATCAGTGCCGTTTTGCACCTAGCCGAATCACACCCGCGAATCATACCCGAATCATACCCGGACAATGAGCTTCCCCTGCCAAGGCTAGTGCTAAGTCTTTTTCACAGCGTCCGCGCCACTACAGCCGCTGCTGCTTCTGCTACAGCTGCTACCACTACTTCTGCAACTGCTACTACTACTACTACCACTACTACTGCTACTACTACTACTACTACCACAGCTTCTACGAGTTTGTAATCAGTGCCGTTTTGCACCTAGCCGAATCATACCCGCGAATCATACCCGAATCATACCCGCGCAATGAACTGGCCTTGCCAAGGCCAGCGCCAAGTCTTTTCAAAGCTTCCGCGCCACTACAGTCGCTTCTACTGTTGCTACTACTACTACTACTACTACTACTACTACTACTACTACTACTACTACTACTACTACTACTACTACTACTACTACTACTACTACTACTGATGTTACTACTACAATATTACTACTAGTACTACTACTTCTGCGAACTGCTACTACTACTGCTGCTGCTGCTGCTGCTGCTTCCGCGAATCATACCCCCGAATCATACCCGCGAATCATACCTGCGAATCATACCCCGTACTCAAACCTTCCTGCCCGGCCACCCTAAAAAATACAAACCCAGATGGGGAGCAGCTGCCGGGCACAAGGATTGATGCCGGGTCTCGCCGGGCGGGGTTCAGTGCTGAAGGGGATGTGATGGGCATGTGCTGTCGCTCTGCGGTCGAGGCAATGTTGAGGTCTCATCGAGGTTTCATCGGGGGTTAATCAGATGCCATGTTTCAGCATTTTGGTTGTCAGCCTCCTCTGTCGCTTAGAGACTTTCGAAGAAGCTGCCTTTGGAGCTATCCTTGGACCTGGGCACCCCATATTTCATTTTTGAAAACAGCTAGAAAACACCCCCACGCCAAAAAAATAATAATTAAGGTATAGAATTATACATATATATATATATACACATATTTGCACATGCGTACATCGCAGGTGGCTTTTGCTTGCGTGTGACGAAGCGGCAAGAACGTCATACCATGCGAGTCCAGCGTAACATGTTTGGCAGAACTTAGGAGCTTTTCACTAAGTTGAAGGAGTTCTGCCAGAAAATCCCTGTCATGTCCATCCATTTCCCTGCTTCCCCCCCGATACGCACACATTCACCCCGTATCTATCTGCGATGGGCTGGCAGAGCGGTCGCATTTGACATTTCAGTCTCTGTCGGCTGTGACCCTACCAACGCCGGGGTAGTTTCCAAGTTAGAGCTCTAGCCGGGGAGGGAAAGGCCCAATGGAAGCTGACAGGTCTTGAGAACTTTGTCCGAGGTGTGGCGCCGCACTTGCAGGCTCCGCGGCGCCACCCTCAGGAGATGCAGCTGGTGGAGAGGTTTCTGGAGATCCTCCCGGAGAGGATTGCCGGGGAGAAGCGGGCAAGAAGGAACTGGAGCTTCCGTTTGCTGAACTCACTCCCTGAGTTTCTGGACTTTGGACTTTTGGGGAAGACCATTTTCGTTGTAAGCAAAGGAACATGGACTTCTTTTGGCCTGGCCAATCCACTCAAAAAGTGAGTTAAGAACATGCATGGTTTATTTTCATTTTTTGATTTTCAATCAAAGCTGTCACTACTGGACATATTTGCCAAGTTTTCAGCAAGCGGCTTAAGCAAATGGAAGTGAAGTGTGGATTGCAGTTGCCCTTGCAGTGGCTGGAGCTTGTGAACGCCATGTGGAAACCATTTACATGTGCTAGATCTTAGCAGGGAGATGCTTGTCTTATCTAATCTTAGCTAAGTCGGTTGTTCCTTACACGCTGATTGGGCGGTTGGACCCGAGGTCTTGGGCTCCGGTGAAGTTTTTTGCAGAAAGCCCCTGCGAGGAAAGCCCCAAACAGGTTTTGGTTTTCCCTTAAAATCCGGGACACCCACCCTTCCCCTGCCTTCCGCCCCCCGCCAACTCCCCCCCAACTCCCCCCCCCCCCCAACTCCGGTGACTCGCCAGGTGGCTCGAGCCGCTGCCTGCGGCTTTGGCGCCGCTGCGGGACGCGCTGGGCCCGCGGGCGCCCGCGAACTGCGAGGCCACGCGCCCGCGCGCCGTCCAGGCGCTGCAGCGGATGAAGTGCCCCCGGGCAACGAGCGAACCGAGTCGCAGAAGTCGGGTCTCGCAAAAACCGGGGGCCCCCCCCCAAAAAAAAAGGGCCCACTCCAGGAGTTCCTGGACTTTAAGCTTTTTTGGGCTTGGACCGTTTTAGTGGTAGACAAAAGGTTTAGACTTCTTTTGGCCAAACCACTCAAGTGAGAAAGTGGCTTCGGTTTTTCCTTTGATTTCCTTTGATTTCCCTTTGAAGCAGCTGAAAAGGGTCCTGGCAAAAAAGACGGCTGGGTGTGCTTTGGCTTGGGGTGAGGCCACCACGGGTTGGCAGTCATCTAAGCAGGCACCTAACACTAGGCAGGCACCTAAGCAGCACTAGTTAGGCAGCTAAGCAGTAGCGCTTTTGCTCCCACTTAAGGGAATAGCATTTACCAAATTGCAGCTAAATGGACGCTTGATCAAACATCCAGGACAGTTTTGGTGTTGACACTGGCTGATGACCCTTTCAAAGCTACGGCTGTCGCAAGACCTTGGCCTTTCAGACCTGAATGGGTGGAGAGCCATGTGCAGCAAAAAAATGGGCTCAAGCCACAGCCGTTGTTGTTTTGCTCAGTGCATTTCTTTTGGTGGTTTATGTGAAGGAGGAGACATGTCAGGCTTGGGTGCCCAGATTTCAGACTGAAGTCAGACGCTTGCCTCAGGATATCCATTCAGATGGCATGGAATCGGCTCGCAGAATCGCTAGGAAGCTGGCCACGCTGATCATGAAATGTAGCACTTGTTCGATCGCCCACCGGTACCACACATGCACACGTGCAAACGAGAACATGCCACGGCGATCGGTTTGCTAAGAAGGTGCTTTTTTATTCTCCCAGTTTGTAGAAGCAGCCTCCTTCTTTGACTCCCATGTTTATCAAGCGCATCGCGCATGTATACTGAACGCACTATCATTTGCTGACATGTTGCCATGTACTTGCGTATTGCCCTGACCGCTGCCCACGGCTCCAAGGGCTTAGCATCGACACCCCGCTTTCGGAATCTAGTGTCGCGAGCGGAGTGCTGAGGCTGGGATGAAGCAGAAGCTCTGAAGCTGTGACGCTGAGCGAATGAAAAGGCGATGGCAAGAAAGCGACAGGCAGCAAGCCGAGGGACTAGTGTTAGTAGCGACAGTAAACAGTGTTTTTCCAGACATCAGTGTCATTGTGTTTTTAAGCCCAACTGCTCACGGTTGTTTGGCAGGGGGTCCCTTGAAAACTGGTAAAGCGTTCAAGATGAGCAACACAAGCAGAGCATGGGACATTTTCCTCCTCCGGCTTCCGGGCAGGCGTGTAAGATTCAGTTGGGTGAGTCCTTTCATGTAGCCCGGTCGCTCTTGACAGCATCTTGCAACACTTCACTTGGTGGCTCCCAGCCATCCCCTTAGCTTTTTAGCCTTTTAGTGTTTGGTGGGGTTTTCCGTTTAGCCCACTAAAAGTTAGTCACTAGCGGGGGATCTGAGCTCAGTTCAGGTAGCACCGGTTGCACATCGGCTTTCCATGGCCCATGTCCGAAGGTCGAGAGGGTTTCTGGATCCCACCACTGGCCGCGCCGATGGCTCAAGACTTGAAGACCGCGGGGAGATTGGGCCAGCTTCCACAAAGTCGAGAAAAAAGCCCCGGAAAGCTCCACGAGTCAACTCGTTTCAACCCCAAGACGAGGCTCACTGCCCCGGTACTGAAGCGACTTGGAGGAATGACCATGGTAGCCCGCACCTGGCTTGACCTTGGATGGCTTTAGAATTAGTGGCAATTCCTTAGTCGGAGTTTGCATGTTGTTTCTCTCATCAGGCAATGAAATGAGCTCACCTCAGAGAGGGACCTGTGATTCTTGGGGCCCGGAGAACTCATGGCCATGGAGCCCCGTGCCGTTGGGCTGATGCGTGCCGCCAGCCCAGAGGGCTATCGGCAAATGTCGCCCGCGTGGCTTGGCAAAAAACTCCCGGCATGTGGAAACTTCATTGCTGGTTGCCCCTCGCTTTCTTTGTTTGCTGGTCTCCGGTTGTCGGCTTTTCGTTGCAATGAATTCGGGATCCCTCTTCCACATACTGTTAATACTGCCAATTCATCCACCAGCAGCGCCAACTGCTATTTCCCACATAATTACATTGACGTAGCCATCCTCCAGGTAGTATGTTGCCAGTCAATTGGAGGCTACAATTTTACTGGTTTTCGCGTTGCTTGGGGTCGTTGACTCTGCATCTATTGAATTTACTCAAAGCCATCGGTCTGAGGTCGATGTGTGTTCCAGTGCTTCAGCCATCGCTGCTGCGGTCCTCGATGCAGCCGCAGCAAAGCGCTTCCATGCTGTTGTCTCCGGGGCGTGGGGTCATCGTGACGCCAAGAGTGCAGATGACGCCACGACACCTGTCATGAGGTTTACCTTGGCGCAGTTTGCTTGAATGTTACAACTTGAACCTTTTTATGCCAACTAGTGGGTTTTCCATTAAACCACTAAATGTCAAACTTTTAGCAGGGGAGCAGAAAGCAACCGTACCTCTAACGCGCTCCACTTTAGAGACCTTCCATGCCAAAACCGCGACCTTCGTTGAGCTGCATCCCCCCCGGGCTTCAGAAATGCAAGTTTCGTCGATCATTGTTTCAAGCACACATTATTGCGCTCAACCTCTTTGTTGGGTGGGTTGCGGGGTGACACACACACACACACATCTCTAGTCAAATAGAATGCACCTGGCTGCACTTGTTTGGGCTTGAATTGGGCATGCCATCACCCAACTCAGGCTGGCAAGCCAAGAATCTCAGCAGCCAGGCTGTGGTTGCTGATGGGACACATCTTGCACTGCAGGCAACCTTCACACTGTTCAATGCAACCTAACTGTGCTTTGTCGGCAGCATGGCGGTAATTGGAACAATCGCTGCATTTTTGCAGCCGTACAAGAATCATATTGCCGTGGGGTGGAACCTTCTCGGATGAGGCTAGATCTTTGAAGAGTAGTTTCAACAAAGTCCGCATGCTTCGCAGCATTCCCCCTCAGGAGACTGCAACCCCCGCATTTGTTGGCTCAGAATTGAGTCCAACAAGAAGGTTCTGTAGAATTCCTGTGCCCAACAAGAAGCCGTTGATGTGCCTCGACTCTCAGGAACTCACGTGGGCCCTTACGTCCAAGCGCCGGTTTTGCGCCTGGGGCGCCCAGACATCCAGCCGCCGGTCCCTTTGAGAGCACACTCGCCGGGACGGCCGCAGCTGACTTCCCCCAGGTGGGAACCGTGCGAGGAAAAGTCACCTGGTTGTTCAGCTGCACCCTTTGCTTGTCTTCGTTTGCTCCACATTTGGGATGAACCGTTAGAAGTGAAGTGCATGACGTGAAGGAGGCAGCGTGCAAACCTGTTCTGACCCTGACTTTCATGGCTCAGTGCGCTTCTGATCACTTGCTGCTTCGGCTGTTCAAGCATCTCCAAGCCAAAGAATAGAATCTAAGTACTGTGCTCATTCCCTTCACCGTTCTTGGCAAGATTTTGGCTTCTTTTTTTTCATTTTTACTGGGGGCCGCAAACAAAATGGGTTTTCTACCATACCATTGTGCAAGACTTTGATCAACCTTGGGATGAGCGAGCGCCAATCTTCCGCTTAGGCGACTTCCCAGAAAAAAAACTGTTGATTCCGGCAGTGGGGCTTCTTTTTACCGCCGGAGATCTCCATTCCGGTGAGCCATGTTCCCTATGGAGAGGACTCGCTCAGGGAATGGGGGGATCCCCCCCCCCCCCCCACCCAAACCCCAACCCCCTCTCAGCCCAGCTGTGCCCATGTGCCAGGCAGAGCCTGGGGCTCAGCCCGCGGCCCCTCCGCAGCCCTGAGAAGTCCGAGGAGTCCTTGGCGCAGCAGCTCAAGGCGCTGCAGGAGGCCAAGTCCTCCGCGCGGGCTCCTTCTCAGCAATTCTTCTTCCGGGGTGGGGCAGGGGAGGGAGCGGGGGGGAAGGGGGGGCGCCTTGTGAGGAAAAACACGCCGGAAAAGGTTTGGGAGGGGGGGGGGAGGGAGGAACGGGGGAGGGGAGGGAGGAAAGGGGGGGGGGGACGTCTGGGAAGTGAGCTCATGCCGGGGTTGCGCATTTTTTCGTAGAGTGTGGGTGTGTTTGTTTGTTTTGTTCCATTGAGTTGCACGTTTTCTGAACTAGTTGTTGTTTGTTTGCTTGCTTGCTTGTTTGTTTGTTTGTTCGTTCGTTCGTTCGTCTGTTTGATTGTTTTGTTTGTTTGATCGCTTGTTTGTTTGTTTGATCGTTTTGCTTGTTTGTTTGCTTGATTGTTTTGCTTGTGCGTTTGTTTGTCAATCTGTTTATTTGTTTTTTGTGCCTGTCTTTGTCCGCCCATCCGTCTGTTTGTTTGTTTGATTGATTGATTGATTGGGTTGATTGTTGTATTGTTTGTTTGCGTTGTTGTCGTGGTCGTTGTCGTTGCCGTGTCGTTGCCGTGTCGTTGCTGTTGTTGCTGTTGTTGTTGGTGGTGGTGCAGGTGGTGGTGGCTGATTTGCTGCGATGGTCTGAGCTTGACTTGTGGTGGCGGCGCGACTTGCTTGCTCTTGCTTAGTGCTGGCCGGATTGCTTCAATTAATTACATGTCTTGCAAAGTGTCTATGCTTAGATCTAGCTTGTTTTCGGGGATTCGTGAATTCCTGAGTGTCCCAGACATTTCGACCGTCGGCATGGCTCTCGCTCTGAACAACGCAGCCCTCGTCAAGATCCAAGCAGAAGCTTTGTTAGCTCTACAAGCTCAACTCAATAGCACACTTAATCTCTGACTTACTCGATTTAATTGACTCGATTTAGCGGGCGTTGGACGTGTGTAGGTGTGTGTGTGTGTGTTGTTTTTTGTTTGCTTGTGTTACTTGTGTTTGTGCGTGTGTGCATGGAATTGTTTGCGTTTTTGTTCATGCGTGCATATATGTTTGCGCATGTGCTTGTGCGTGGTGTTTTTCCCTGGCAACAAGTCCAATCATGGAGCATATTTGGACTTACTTGTTTGAGGGTGCCAAAGAAAGCAAGCACCATCCGCTTCGAAGCCAGCTAGTTTCCTGACCGGCGTGCTCACCTTGTTGGTTTCGGCGCAGAGGCTTGAAGGCGACCACATGTTGCACGCGATATATGATGTTGTTGAATCATAATTAAGTACGTTTGTTCTTGAGCCCTTCCACTGAAAATTGCAAGACAATGCAAGCCCAAGCGAAGGCACAGCTGGCGCAGAGCGAGCAGGCCATTGCTGCAAGACAGGCCGGGTTGCGGGCAGGTGCAGAGCGGTAAATGCGGGGGAGGGGGGGCACCAAGCAGACATGTGATGTTCAACGGCTCACCTGAGAGCTGGCCCACGCAGCAGTAGCACCAATCTTGTGACCTTTGGGTTGAGTCAATTTATATGCAGCCTGCGTGCTGGTGATAGCTTGTAAGCTTTCATGCGATGCATGATCGCTGATGATCCTTTCCTTTTCAAGTTAGGTCATCCCACTTCATGCTGTTGCCCACGTGCGGCAAGGCATGTCACTGCCGGTTGGGCTTGCTTCTCCCATCACAGCAGCATCCGAACGCCCTCAGATCTCAAGCAGCCCGAAAGGTGCCCAAGTTCCCACAATCTGACATATGTTGATGCTATATGAATCAACCCCTGTTTATGCATGGGTGTCCCTGGGTTTAGTTCGCGGGGAGTCAGACCAGTTTTGGAGGGCCCCCCCAGCCCTGCTCCATCCGCCCCTCCGTCCACCCCTCCCCGTCCACATGGAGCTGTTTGCCTCAGGAGCAGCTTCGGAGGGAGACCTGGAAGGCCCTGAAGGTCAGCGGCCGATGCTTTGCGCCCTCCCCCTTCTCCGAGGTGAACTTCAGCGCCTCGGAGCGGGGAGGTCCCGCAGTGGTCGGGAGGCGAGAGAAATTACCATAATTACGCGCTTTTTTCGGCCCACTGGGGTCCGGATTCAATTTTCCCTCAAGATTTGGTGACGTTTGAGGGCCCTCCAGGGGTCGGGGTTCTCCGTTGGAGGGCCCAGGGGTGTGCATTGGAGGGCTCATGACGCTTAGGGTGGAAAGATAATTTGTCTTGAAAGGCGTGACGCCCTTCTTTCCTTCAAATGGTATGGCACTTGGCTACAGTTACTGAACGGTGTACGCAGAACGGGCATGCTTGTTTGCCCCTTCTCTGCCGGCGATGACACTGACACTCTCCTTGGCATTTGGGTTTTTTCATCATTCTTCGTCAGGTGGCAGATTTCACAGCATCAACACCAACCCAATGCCCGATCACTCTAGGTTCCGACACTTGCAACACATATGCAATATTTTCGAGCAGTCTTTTCCAGAGGGTTTCCTCCTTTCCTCATATTTTCAACAGAGCTGCGCTCACCAAAAGTTGACCAAAGATCCGGATTTCGGGACACTGCTTCAAGGGGTGGTTAGCAAGCCTGGTAGGGAGACGGAAAAACTCGTGGCTTTTAGGGGTGGTTATGACCCACCCCGACGTACCGAATCAATCGCCAGATTTCCAGTGAGGTCAGGGTGAGACGCTGGACATGGGCAGCCCCTTCTCAGTGCTGCGCACGGAGCCCGAGGAGGAGCTGCCGGGGGATTCCACGCTCTCCTCGCACGCGCACCTGCCGCCGCCGGAGGCGCCGGGCAACCCACCCGGGTGCTGATGAAACTCACCTGTTTGCACGAGGTTCCATGGGTTTTAACGGCTGAAGTGTGGTTTTTCAAGGGGTCAAGGGAGCCCACTGGTGTTGAAAGCGCTTGATGGATCGAGCTTATGAGGCAGACTTTGGCAAGGCCATTTGCTTGCAATGGTATCGCAGCAGTCAGCAGTGGCCACCGTCGCTTGACAAGCTGAACACGCCAATACAGATCGAAGCTTCTTGTTGCAACTGGCAGGTTGGGTGTAATTAAACCTGTCCCGAAAATCCCCGCGTTTTCGGGTGAAGGGAAGGTTTGTCTCACCAGGAAACCCCATAGGTTCCCTTCAGCTTCCCAAATGCCTCGTTGGCCCTGAGGAGACGCCTCGTGAGCCACGCCTCTCGTCGGCTCCGCGGGAGGCGGAGGCGCGAGAGGCGCCACAGGCGGCGCCGCGGCCGCGGGAGCCGGTTCGGGAGGTGCGGGAGGAGCTGGCGCACGAGCGGCGGGGGGCCAAGGCGGCAGCAGGAGAATCGAGCGACCGGGAAAGTGGGCGTTTGTGAAAAGATGGGCGAACTGGGTGAACCTCGCAATCTCGCAATCTCGCAAGACCTTGCCACACTTCAGCCTCACTGCTTGCTTCCGGAGTTTCTGGACTTTAGTCGCTTTTTGGGAGCATTTTCGTGGTAAGTAAGCCTTGTGAAGTTTGGATTTGTTTGATCAATCCACGCAAGAAGTGAGACTGAATTGTGAGTTTGGACTACTGTGTAGGATAGGCTTGAAATACGTGGGAAAGGAAGGAAGGCTGAAATTGAGGAAAGATGCCAACAGTGCACATGCCTGTGTGAACCGCCGTCCTTGCAGCAGCGTCAACTGTTGAATCAGCTCAATGAACACGGTTTCCACATGGCTCCAGTCGCCTCGCAACCTTTTGAACCCTGAACCACGCAGCTCAGACGCCGGAGGGTTGGTGACACCTTGCAGCAGGACTCGCAGCACTGCGAGGCAGCCGGGCCAAGTCCTCGCCATCCGTGCGCTCCACTTCCGTGACTTCCATGACTTCCATGACTTCCCTTCGGTCGTTCTCTCAGGCGGGGTGCAGCATGTCTTTTAGCCAAAACGCTGAGCCCAGAGTGACAGAGTGCTGGCCCCTTTTGCCAGTTCCAAGCACGCAAGAGTGGTTGTAGACATGTTTTGTACATGGCAGCCTGCAATTTGTTTTCGAACGTGCACGGGGCGCTGAGACAAGAAGCAACTGATTAAGCATTTGACAGACGGCACATCCCTTCCGGTCACTACACATCACCTTGACAGAATGACTGCTCCAGAAAGCCCTGGGAAAAAATGGCACTTTTTTGGCCGCACTTTGGACTGGTCGGGGGCTTTGCGGAATTGTCGCCCTTCAGCCATTCCATGCGACGTTTTTCAAGCCCGGGAGCTGCTCCCTTTTGGATCCCACAAGACACTCAGTCGGCAAAAACGCACACACCACAAGTTGTGGGCCCGGTTCTGTGCATTGGGTTCTCAGACCTGAATGACTTTGACGCTGCTATGTTACCAGATGATGGAGAGGAATTCTCGAGAAGCCCGTGCTAGCCTTTAGCCACCCGTATGTTCCGAAATTTCGGGCCTACAAAAAGCATACCTAAAATTTGTGGCTTACAAAGCAAATGATAACATCATTTCAACTCAGCACCCCAACTCCACTCAACTCTGCCCCAACAGATGGATTCCAGCAGCCGGTTTTTTTTCCCCGCGAGGAGCTTCAAAGCTGCAAGGCCTCCTTGGAGAGCTGTGCGCAGCAGGTGGGCGGGACTCAGGGACTGGGTACGAGTGGGTTGGGTGCTGGGATGTTGACAGAAGCATTTCGTCAACTCACACCAACTGCTAGGGCAAAAAACACACCTCAACCTTTATGCCGCATGCCCATACTGCGGTTTTTGTTTGAAGTTGTCGCAATCGTACGGAAGCCACGTGATGCTTCCCAGGAAGCTAAACATCCAGAAATGGGCATGGCCCGGTTTGCTACGGCTTTCTGCCCTGTGGATATTATTCTTTTCAGAGCATGGCCCCAAAATTGGCCAAAACACGGGTAGTATGATGGTGTTCGGGGAGAGGTGGATTTAAAGGGGCAGTGTACTTAGTATGTGGTTAGTAAGCCTGGTGAGGAGACTTACAACCCTGGCTTTTGTGGCTCATGACCATGGTTATTGCCCACTTAGACGTGCCGAATCGATCGTTTTAAGTGGAACCGTTTGAGCGCCAGATCTCCACCAAAGACCTGCGGGACCTGCGCATGCTACGCAGGGCGCCGCCGCAGGTGGCCAGGAGACCGCCTCTGTGGGTTTGAGACTTGCAACTTACTTGGCTGCTATTGGCCTGGATCTTTAGACTTTAACTTCTTGGGAAATCAAGTTGGGTTTTCCACTAAACACCCCAAAAAGTTAAGCTTTTTGCAGGGGGGTCAACAGCAACCAAGCTTAAATGGAAGTGGACATGGGGCTACGTGATTGTTGGGAAACAAAATGTACATGTTTGCTTGTTGTGGTTTGGTGGGAAATCCCCAAATAAGTGCTGAAAGTTAAACTTTTGCTCTCCTTCCAACGTCAACCAAGGCTTCCCCAAAAAGAAAGGAGTCGTCCAAAACCCAGCTGTCAGCTTCCATGATTGTTGGAGGGATGGCAATCTCAGTTGCTCAAAACCGACCGTTTGACCTTTTGGACAACATAGCTCACCACATGGGTAGAACAATAGTTCACCACATACTTGGCAGGGTGTTACCCAAGCCACGGTCATAGAGACAAAACTTTTGGCGTTCTCTTTTTGAAAACCATGTTAGTAAAGGTTCCAAAAAGGTGAACCTTTTATTTTTGTGTCCCCTGGGCAACCGAGGAAGACAACCACCTACAAAAATGATCAATACGTGGCTCGGGAGCGCACATGGCGATGTGATTAGGCATGTTCTCACTTGGAAGATACAGAATTCCCGTGATACCAAAGTGAGATTTCCATCCCTACTGTGGATGGGCGGAATCCTGCGCCAGTTGGGAGGCAAACGTTTCTTGGCGCTTCCCAGCAGTCGGGTTCCTTAAGTTTTTCGGCTTTTAGTTGGCTTGTTGGGGGGTCCGACTTGTCGCAAAACCTGAACTTGTAGCAGGGGAACTGAGGCTGTTGGATGCTCGTTTGGCGCGTTCAGCAATGTCTACAAAATCAGGGGTGATATGTAATGACCACCCCGTTGTCATATGTCAAGCCCCACAACTGGTGGCATTACACATGTTGCTGTGGTTTCCTGATTCAACATGCTTTCTTCCATCTCATGAGAGTGTGCTGCGCTGCCGCGGCAGCCTGGTGTCAGTTCTTATTGGGCTTGCCAGATTTGATGTGTAACAAGAGGCTTTGCCATCGACAGCTTGTTTACAGAGTGTGGGGCAATTCTTCTTGAGCAGAAGTGCGGGTCGCAAAGCTGTAACATTCCACTTCCCACAGCGCATCACGATGCCTGCCGTTCGATCAACAAGGAAGGCGTACATTGCAAGCTTGCCACTGCACGCACATAGTGAGCGTTGGCGAACCAGTTGCCAGTGGCCTTGCTTGATTTTCTTAGCTTTCCCTAGTGCCCGGCATTGAAGTCGGCGACATTGGGCGCCACCTGCATTGCTTTAGCAAGCGCCTCCTGGTTGCTGTAGCCCTTTAGAGGGCTTGGCCCTTGATAGGTAAAATCCTGCGCCTCACAGCACGCCGCGCGCCGCGCGCGGCGCGCGCGTGGCTTAACTCGGTTTTTCCGGCGCAGGATCCTCGAGGTCATGGGCCTCGCGCTGGGGGAGGGCAAGGTGAACCTGAAGAGGCTTCTGGTGGACACCTTGCCTGCTCGGCTTTCGAAGCTTGTCCTTTTGCACCAAGGGAAGTATTCATGATATCAGGCAACTCTGAATCGGTGGTTCGGATTGGCGGTTGGGGAGTTGAACCCATTGTAGTGGGTAAATGGAAGACCACCCCTCAACAAAACCACCAGTCCAACCATCAGTTGGAAGGAAGCTGATGCTATGTTCCTGCACGGTGTTCATGGGTGACATTGTTGCATCGACCGCATGGGAGATTCCGTGTTCCAGAGGGGTGTCAAGAGCCGCAGACGTCTCTGTGTGTGTCTCTGTGTGTGTCTCTGTGTGTGTCTCTGTGTGTGTGTGTGTCTGTGTTTGTGTGTCTCTGTGTGTGTCTCTGTGTGTGTGTGTGTGTCTGTGTGTGTGTCTCTGTGTATGTCTCTGTGTGCGTGTGTCTGTGTGTGTGTGTGTCTATGTGTGTGTGTCTCTGTGTGTGTGTCTCTGTGTGTGTCTCTGTGTGTGCGTGTGTCTGTGTGTGTGTGTGTCTCTGTGTGTGTCTGTGTGTTTGTGTGTGTGTGTGTGTCTGTGTGTGTGTGTGTCTGTGTGTGTGTGTGTGTGTGTGTCTGTGTGTGTGTGTGTGTCTGTGTGTGTGTGTCTCTGTGTGTGCGTCTGTGTGTGTGTGTGTCTGTGTGTGTGTGTGTGTGTGTGTCTGTGTGTGTGTCTATGTGTGTCTGTCTGTGTTTGTGTCTGTGTGTGTGCGTGTGTCTCTGTGTGTGTCTCTGTGTGTGTGTGTGTGTGTCTGTGTGTCTGTGTGTGTCTCTGTGTGTGTCTCTGTGTGTGTGTGTCTGTGTGTGTGTCTCTGTGTGTGTCTCTGTGTGTGTGTGTGTGTCTGTGTGTCTGTGTGTGTGTCTCTGTGTGTGTGTGTGTGTGTGTCTGTGTCTGTGTGTCTCTGTGCGTGTGTGTCTGTCTCTGTGTGTGTCTGTGTGTGTGTGTGTGTCTGTGTGTGTGTGTGTGTCTGCGTTTGTGTGTCTCTGTGCGTGTGTGTCTGTCTGTGTGAGTCTCTGTGTTTTGTGTTTTTGGTTGGGGGATGTTGGGGATTTTTTAAAACCCAAGGCGCCTCCCGCAAGCCGCGCCGTTTCGGAGCGCGCGCAGCCGAGGAGCTTCCAGCCAGAGGCCCTGACTGCTGCACAGCGGGCGAGGCTGCGGCAGCGGCTGGGTGCCGAGCTCGGTGAGGCCGCGAAGCTCTACCAGCCCTGCCCGCTGGTCGCAAGCCTTTTTCCGCGACCTGGAAGTCCGGTCCGTTGCGCCTCTTAAGTTGTTCTCTTTTTTTTCTCGGGCTCCCAGCAAAACACATGGAGACTCTGACTTTGTTGGTCCTGGATTGGAGCATGTTCCCTTTTAAAGGGACCGGGTTTTTCTAGGTTAATCTCCCGGGAGGGTAATTATTTGGTCTTGAGACTTTAACTGTTTGGTTGAAACAGGTCGGATTTGCAGTTGGAACCACAAAGGTTACAGTAAGTCAGTGTTTGCAGAGGAATCAACAGCAACCAAATTTGGTGTCCAGAGAAAGCAAGAGGAAGCCAATCATTTTCGGGTTCCGATTCAAATTCCTATGGTTTGAAGCATTTGGTATGGCCAATGTAGCAGGTTTCCTTGACTTTTGAATTTTAGAAATAGCCTTACAGGGAGAAAGCGGCAGATTTGCTCGGATTGGGGCCCAACACGGTCCATTATCTACAAGGAGATTCGATTCCTTTAAGCATGATTGTTGGGGCCATCTTAGCTTGCAGAGTGACAGGGAGCAAACATCCGTTGGTTTTGGGATCTAGATGATCTATTTTGCGGATACCCGGTTTTTTTGGGTACGCCCCTTGAGCCGGGGCGTTGGGCTCGAGTGCTTCGGGAGACGAGCCAAAGTGTCACTTTGGAAAACGAGCCAAAGTGCGCAGCCTGATTTCCTTGAGAACCTGGCACATGTCGTGGAGGAAAAGGTGGATATGCCGGGAGGGCGGTATTGGATGAGTTGGGGGCCTCAAAAACACTGTTTGAAGCGCCAAGTGCTTGCCCTCACAAAATGCAGTCAAAGCGCCGTGCCAGGTGCCTCACTTGCCAGATGGTGCGAGTGTTTGGGCACCTTCCTCGAACGCACTTCTGCTGAGAATTTCACCGAGCCTTTGGAAGAGGAGACTTTGCGGGAGGTCCCCGTTGCTGACGGCGCCTTGGCATGTTTTGTTGAAGTGTTTTTTTTGCTTAAGAATAATGTTTATTTGACTACTGGACACATGATTGAATTCGAGGTCTTGTTTGATTCCGTCAGCTTTCATACAAATGGCGGAACGCCACCAACAAACTTGCAGCCAAAGATGCGTGAGACGACTCAGCGTTGTGAGTCATGAGGCTACAGCGTACTTAGCTTGGAATGCTCTTTTTGGGTTCATGGCGACTGAAAACCGTGTGCTTCATCCCGCCCAGAGGGGCAACCGGGATGGCGGCAGGTGACGTGGTCCAAGGTCGGGAGACCTTGGAGGATGGGATCACAAAGGATTTACCCCCCAATGTGATACTTTTGGGAACCCGTCTTGACATGGGGAGTTCGTCTCTTTAGGCCCGTTTAGATTTGTATCACAATTGGCAATTTCCCACAGCCCGGAAGCGTTGAAGTTGGGTTATCTTACACTTCGGCTCTTCAGCGCGCGACATTCTCTCAGATTGCATGAATTGTATTTGGCACCACCACAGTGCCAATATGGACCAACTGACTGGTTGCCAATGCAGGATGGTGTGAGAAGAAACACATGATCCGTGTAGTTTGCCCAACATCCAGCCCCGGGAGGAGGTTGCCTGGGGGAAAAGAACGCAGGTCATTCCAATCCAGAAATTCTGGCCCTTCACACCGGTGGAAAGGCATTGACATGCAAAACCTCCTGTCAAGAGGCTCTTCGCTTATGCCTGAGGTGAGCCACAATCAAAACCCGGGTAGATGAACGATAGTAAGGGACAATCCCAACCATAAATAATTGCGGCCGCCTTCTTGATTCTTTACGTGGTTCTGTGTAGATCATTTTGACACCGGGTTTTGATCATGTGTCAGGTGAAGCCAACATCTACGTGGAGCCTGACCTGCGGAGCTTGTCCCCGCGGAAGCTCCGGGCGGTGCCAAACTTGACCCTCACCAAACCGGGCGTCGCCTCGGTGGTCTTCCACGGTGACACCGACTGCACCGGTTTAGCGCCCAAGCCCGAGGTTTAAGACTTGGGATGGCTCTGATTGTTCCGGGCCCCTACTCCAAATACCCGGGCTTTTTTCAGGGTATCAAGTCGACCCTCTACTATAACAGGAGCTATTTACCATGCCAAACCAGGTTTTCCCAAAAATACCTGAAAAAAGCGGGTATTTTGAGTAGGGGGTTTGAGGGCCTTGAACCTGAGGAATCCTGGGAAATTTTGTGATTGAGGCGATTTCTCGGGGTGATTGACCTGCACAACAGAGAACTTGTTCAATTCTCAGGCCACAAATCCGGATCAGTGGTCCCAACGGTGCCTATTGCCGCTGAGGCCAAGGTAAGCGTCGGCAAATTGAAGACATTGGCAACGCACTGTGGTTGTGAGCAGGTGAGGGAGGTGGCGTTGTTTTTATTGGCGCTTTGTTGTTGGTGACAGCACCATTGGTTGGAACCATGTTTAACCCGAAGATTCACTCTCCGGCCTTTTCGTAGGCGTCTTGGTTTTCTGGCAGTTTTGGGTGTGTTGGGCGTTCTAAGTGATTTCTAACAGTTTTGGGCGGCCCCTGAAAAAAAAGAACGTGTCTTTTGATTTGCGGGGTTTTGCCGGCGTTTGTGGGCATCTCTGGGCGGAGAAATCGCAAAAGGGGGCCAATTCTGAAATCTCACGTGCCGAATCAACAACACATAGGGAACTTTAGTAGTTTTAGGCGACTTCACGGAGAAAGCATCGAGATTTAGGAAAAGCAAGCTAAAGACGAGAACAGGACATGGACGAATGAGTCTCCAGGAATCGCTGGTGAAATGTTGGATGTGAAATCTGGGGGTTCCACGGTCTTTTCCGCTATCGCTCCCAAGCCGCAGATCGTCAGCCATTTTTTCAGGCGAGCGTTTGGATTGGGACAATCGGTTCTACCTGCGGTCTGGGTGACTGAATGGCTTGGCCCCCTTGTTCGTGTTTTCCTTTGTGAGGACGTCGAGCGCGACGTAGTCCTCAAGAGGGGGTACGTGCTGGTTTACCCAGACCCCATGAACAAGCCGGCGGTTGGTGAAGGTCTCAACAAGGCGGCCACGGTGACAATGTATCAGTGCTTTCCTCCTGGAGATTTGATTCAGGATGAAAATGCAGCTCAGGAGCTTGGGAAGTTTGCAAGATGCGTGGGTGCCGCATGAGCCTTGCCTTCCTGCAAGGGTTGCTGAGAAGTTCCTATCTATGTGTTAGACTCAACATGTAATCAGTGACAGGAGTACAGGGACAAGATCAGGAGGATGACCGAGGAGAATGATGCGTGCACCTTCATTGACTACAACTGCCAGACTGGTGTATGGAAGTTTGAGGTGGATCGCTTTTGAAGAATTGAGTCTTTGGGAACATCTGCCTGCAGAGCCACTGGCCACCCCTGTGATGCATAAATCACTGCATCGCCTAAAAGCCAAGTGGCGTACAGCACTACATGTTGGGAAGCCAAGCTGCAGACTAGATGTCCCTCAGAATCATGCTTTTCTCACTTATGAGTTTCTGGAGGGCTTGGGGTTACAGTTGCCACATCATGTTTGCTATTGCTTCCTTATTGCCTTCTCACATCTCACTCACGGTGACTCAGCATTTTTGGCCCGGGGCCCTTCAGGATGCCAAGCGTGCAAATGCATCGTGAGCTTGCCAATGCATTGGGGCGCCGGTAGGTCGAAAGCAAAAAGAGCGGACGCGGCCGTGGCCCGCATATGCTGCTGCACGTTCCAGAAATTGTCACCGCCTTCCCAAGTGATGTCAAGAGGCATGAAGGCTTCGCTGTTGAGTCTTAAGATCCCTGAGATCGTTGAACCTGCGGGTTGTGTAGCGTATGCGGTGGTGTAGACGGGGTTGATAAGCGGCGTCGTTGAAAGGCCGATCTCCTTGCTCATGTCAGTCGGCTTTCCAGGGGTGTCTACAGCATTCTGTTTGGGAATGGCTTCCTTGTTGACCCGGGCTTTGCTCAAGTCTTGATGTTGGCCCAAGACTTTACGACAACCTCCAGCGGCCGAGGTGGTGCCCTTGCTAGATGGGCGGGCGCAAAAAGTGGGCCTGGGAGGATGGGGTGGCTGGAAGAGCCACGGCAATC